AACCAAAGAGTATGGATTCCTGCAGTCACGAAAGCTTCAAATGAAGATTGAGGAATATTAACTTGGAACACCGGCATCAAGTAGTGTATTACGTTGTGTCAGTGAACATCTCGAGAAGATGACATCACAGAACTACTGTCCTTCGGAAGTCTATTCAATATGCCTTTTTAACAACACGAGGCACACTTATTATTTGACATGAAATATCGAGCGTGCGTCATGGCAAACGAAATGACGGTAGAATATGTCAAATGAAGCGACAGACCCAATGCAATGATGTTTTTTGCTGTCTAATTGGTGATCAAGGCGGTTCGCTGCACTTGAGAACCCAATTCAATCACGGGCGGCTGAAATTTGGATTTTGTTGTCCCGTCCCCCGCATCTACGATGAGCACGGATGGCTACGTACGGTGCGAAAGAAGTTCAACATACATACAAACGTAGGTTTGAGCCCAGGGTCACAGCAATGCCAGCCAGTGGTGTAGCTACTGAGTGTGCAAGCGGTGCAACTGCAACGGGGCCCACTGGCCAGAGGGGCCGAAGAGGCGGGCTGCTAAGTGAGTGGGGATTGGACTGGGGGCCACATTTCACGAGATGACGTTCGGGAAAAGGAGACCACAATCTAACTGGATGTGAAACATCAAAACGCTGGGCCGGACGGAAGACATCTCGGCGGAAATTCGCAGCGACAGACAAGAGAGACGACGTAGAGAGACCGCTGCAAGGAGATATCATTCCCCAGTGGGCCAAAAGTGTCAATTGACCCATGCCAATTACACAACAATACCGGTTAAAAGACCATCCACAAACGAACGTCCACCAAACCTGAAGTGGCCGCTGAAGGCGGCGAGGACGTTCTTGTGCGCCTTGAAGCAGACTCCCCTGACCATGAGCGTGCAGTCGCACAGCAGGCCCTGGATGCGCTGGTCGTGCAGTTGCTGCAGCAGGTAGGAGCCGTGCTCCCAGGCAGGGGGCCGAGGTGCCGTGGCCCCCGCGTGCGGCGCAGCGGGGTGGGCCGAGCCTGCGCCCGACGCGGTCTCGTCCCAGCGGCGAGACGGGCGCCTTTGGGACAGAGCGGAGAGGGCAGAAAGGCACTTTCGTTAATCGACACGCGGCGTCTTTAATTGTGGGTTGGCATCAGTGTCCACGAGCCAAGGAGAGGTGAGGGAGGTGTGGAGGAGCAATTGTCACGTTTCTACCAACCAGCCTAACCACACCCACGGTACTTTTTAATTTTTTACATTTACCAGAGGAGTTACATTGAAGGTTTTGTTATTCACAAAATCCTGACATTTCTGGACGGGCAGCCTCCCCAATCCCACCCACCCCACCTTGGGAAGCCTCTGGGTGGCGCTCGTCTGCATTGGACGATGCAAAGTGAACGGTGCGAAGCGCAACGTTACCATGGCGGGACCCCCCAGCCCCCCCAGCCCCCCCCCCCAATGTGAAGTCACGGAGTGGGGGGGGGGCACCGCCGACTCAGCACAACGTGCCCGGGTGGGAACCGCGTCCTTGGGTCGTGCAAATTGCAACGCCAAACAGGCTCGGCGCAAGCCGCTGGGCACGAATCGATAGGGGCAGCAGACAGTCCGGTAGAGAGAACGCGAGCAGCATTCCCCGTCCTCTTTACCACCATCACCCCACCTTCCCCCATGCACATGGACACTCGTGCTGCTGTTGTTGCTGCTGCTCGATACCTCATGGCGACTTGGAACCCGAGCCAGGGCGCCTTCTGTCGGGATGGTCAAGTCAGGGATGTGACGCTGACGCTGCCGCTGCTGCTGCTGCTCCTGGTTGTGATGATGATGCTGCTGGTTGTGATGATGATGATTATGACTTTTGCCTTGGTTTTCCGTTTCAAGTGAATGGTACGATTGCTCCTGCTGCTGTTGTTGCCGTTTGTGGTGAGCTGAAGGATATGATGATGATGTTGCTGCGGCTACAACTGATGGTTATTGTTGCTGGTTGTGCCGCTACTGCTGGTCAGCTCAGAGTTATCAGGATGATGATGATGCTGCTGCTGCGATTGCTTATTCAGCTGCTGATGTTAGCGCTTGTGTTTCTGTGGCTGATTTTGTGTTGTGCTGCTATCGTGGCCTGCGTTGCTGCTAAGAACTGGTCGTACTGGTGGTGGTGATGTCGCTTGCAACGTTTTCCGTTGCGGACGCGAGTGGCAGTAAACTTCCCCCGAGGTCACCGCGACTTATGCGCCGCAATCAACCCTGACTCGGAAGAGCTTGTTCGCCCACAGACGCCCCCGGTCATTCATTCATTTTCCTTTCGTTCGCACCCAGACGCGCCACAAGGGGGCGCTGTCGCCACGTCAATCCGTAAGAAAAAAAGGCCATCAATTGACAAAACTCGGGACACATTCGTCAATAACTGTGTGGCCTTGACACGACACGTATATGATAGGCGACGTTTTAGGAAATGGCCCTTCTTGACAGCACATAGAGGCCGGAGAAAGTTAAAGACAATTGACAACATAAGCGGACAATGTTTTTTGTACACATCCCGTCAGCCACAAAACCTTGTGGGAGTGCATTTCAGCAGCATTGGTTCAATACAAGAAAATTATACACTGGTTGCGAGATACAATGTCTCAGCAGCAGAGCCTGGCTTACTTGAACAAATTACATGGAAATTATCTTCAGCTTCCACCTAGCAGTGTACATTTGTCACTTGCCATGAATGTTAGCTGTGGCTGGGCTTCTTGAAACCACAAATCAGTTTTTCCATTTTAAGGATCTTCATTTATAATTAAATACCAATGAACCTGGTATAAGTGACCCTGACCGTTAAACTGGTGATCAAGAGGCAGGATTGATGGATCGTAGAGAGATATAAATATTGAGTCATGAAAGATGAGACATTTACTTCGGCTTGAAGCAGGCCAGACAATATATTTCACTTAGCAGCAGTACCCGAGGTGGAAAACCTTCAGCGATACCAGTTTCTACGTGGTTACTTAATTTTGCAAACAATTCATTGATGGTGGAGCAGTGACACTTTGGTTATGGCACTCCGCTATGAAGCAGGGAACCTGAGTTTGACGCCAAGCCATAGCTACCAGTGGTGATATCTTAACCTGTCCTAGCCTCATTCGCCTGTACAAACCTGCCCTGACCTGCGAACACAATACCTGTCAACCCCCAATCAGTGCTCTGCCTTATTACAGACCAATTTCAGACCTTATTGGTCACCCCATGCCCTTATAAATCTCAACGATCATCCTACAAAGTCCCAACGCAAATGGACAAAAAAATATTTGCCCGCATTGAAACGGCTGTACGCTGTATGGACCTGAAAACTCAATTTCCCTGTACCAGAATATGGAGTAAACTGTATGGATTGACAGGTATGAAACACCACTGCCTGAGACAGCATGGGGAGCCTTTCTTCCAACCGTGGATTGTCAAAGGGCTGAAAAGCAATACAATTATAAATATTCCACAAAATGTCTGTTCTGGCCCATGTACTAAGTGTGCAGAGGTTTATAAAGTTGTTACACAGAAAAGCCTCAGAGTCTTAAGACAAGTTTCAGGAAGATCCTGCACAACGTGGGGGACAGTGCGACTTGGCGGGACAAATCAGGAATAGTTAACTCCATGGAATATGATGGCCGGTCTATACTTGCTCGAGCATAGTGAATTTGTATTCAATGTACGTAGCTTCTCAGGTATAGCTTTTTTTGGACATTGTATTCTTCCTACACACCAAAACACTAACAACTTGTAATTTAGTACTGTACCATATGCAGTGTGTGAACAGAAAAATAACACAAGTACCATAAAGGGTTGGGAATGTTGGAACACAATTCATTGAAAATGTAATAGCACACATCACAAATTTAAATACACAGTAGAATCAATTTAGCGCAACTGCATATAAACAGTGTATATAATAAATGGTTGAAGTTTAAAAGTCCATTGTCAATTGGTTTCCAGCAGTACACAAGCTACATCAATAAACACGTTCTGCAATCACAATGTGCATGCATAAAAACGAATGTATCCATGTATTAAATAACATTGCACACATTTACCGGTCATTATATATCTGTCAAATGAAATGCAAACAAAGACAAGTACATGAATCAGAAAATTTTATTTTTTAAATATAATGCAAAATGTAATGCAAGGAAATGTTCAATGGTCCTATTAAATCTCCATATATATAAAAGGCAAAGTTGTGAATGTGTCTGTTTAAAATGTTTAGCCTACTTCCCGACATGCAACAAACTGAAAATTTGCCATGTGGGTACTTTCCAGACTGTACACCATGCAACAATTATACAAATACACTTTTGTGTTTTTTTGGGGGGGGAGCTGAATAATGCATATATTTTTTGCACGGCAAGTGAGCTGTGATGTCAAATCTGTCATGTGACCCACGCATTGTAGTGGTTAGCGCACCGCGCTACGAACCCGGCGACCCGAGTTCGATTCCCGCTTACGGCCACCACCGGTGATGACTATTTGAACCGGTCCTGGGCCTCCCCTAGCTCGACTCAGCCTCACACGAGTAACTGGTGTGGTGTGTGAACATCGCCACTGGGGCCACAAAGGCCCGTGGTGAATCCAAGTCCCGGGCGAAGCCGGGTAGTACAGCTAGTACATTATATAGTACATCTAGACACATGTCTCAGTGCATGGAGATGACTCAACAGGAAAAATATACCAATTTTTCTTAATTGCAGTAAATGTCTAAAGTTCAGTTTCTTTATAAGGGACCGTTAAACATGGTTGTAAATAATTATACATTTCTTCATTCATGTTAATAAGTAAAAACAATGTGGGCACTGTGGACAGCTTATAATTGTAGTTTATACTATGCAAAATGTTTTACCCTTCAAGTTTAACGTTATTGTTTTTAATGTTCAATCGCGTTAGAAGGCAAATATAGTGCTTTTAAACAAGACATCCAGAAACAGCAAGTTTAATGTTACAGGAAAAGATATGAACAATTTTTTTTATAATTTAAAAAATACTATATTTTTGATATGTTTATCCCACAGTGTGAAGAGCTGGGGTAGCACCACGTTCCGTTTGGTTACGGCCCATGGACAGGCGCGCCAGCCGTTCTGCGTAAAACCCATTGAAGTCCAACCTGGAGACGTCACACACATGCAAAACCACTTCTGTCACATATATTTCATACGTGGCTCATCTGTAAGCTTGCATATTTACTACTATAATGAGCCAAGAATGTCTGTCCCACGCGTGACGTCACTCCACGCCAGCCAGCCCCCCTCATTAATAATCATGAATAGGTGACATCCTCCACATGGACCCCCACCCCCTTCATTAATAATCATGAGCAGGTGACGTCACTCATACATCTAACAGCCCCCCACATTAATAATCATTAAGAGGTGATGTCTTCCAAATGGATACCCCTCCACCATTAATAATAATTAGCGGATGACGTCACTCCACATGGGGGGGGCGAGGCGCCTCCTTCCCCCTCCTCCACGTCAACTGACAACCCTCACTACAAAGGCAGAATCCTCACGTCACGCATCTCCGTAACGCTATTGAGACTTAGAAGTAAAAAAGGACGTCATGATGAACAAGGGATTATAACCTTTAAATTAAATAGGTCTGTGTCACCGCGGCCTTACAAACTGCACACGAATTGATGCAATGAATATCACGTCGCGGTCTGCTTTTCGCTTGCAAGTTTCAGATTTCCTGAAATACACCCGTCCTTGGATGGGCAAAAGGCTAGTATTCTAATAGTCAATCACGCACCAAATGCTCATGTTGATATATTGCGCAAATGAGTGAAATCAGTTATGAAATAGCGAAAAATCACATGAACGGGATCGAACTCCTTATCTTCCGTCATCGACTTTTTAATGTTTTTTTGTTCCCCTTAATTATTTCTGGTGTACGTCTTAACGTGCCATTTAACAATGATCCAGTCTGCCTTCCCAGAGACAGAGCCAACCCAACAGTTGCACCCCCTCCTCTGAAATATTAAGTGGTGCCTGTTCCACTCTAATACAGAATATTTATATTCGGAGAACTCTTCCCAGACAACTCCACCAATTTCACTGCGTTAGATGTTAGATAAGTAATGTAGTTTAAACGGACAAGGTCTCAATTACCGTTTTAAAGAATACCTCTGACCAAATGATTTGGCTTACTTTCCCGAGCAATGATAGCCTGGCATGATACGAGCCCAGTTTCAAAAGCAAGCAACAAGAACGCTGTATTGTTTTTATCAATTTTGTAACTGATAAATTTCCTTTGCGAACCTACTTTAAAAGTATTTATTATCACTTAATCTCAACAGGCTGCCCACTTACGTTTTATACATTGTCATTTACCTGTAGGCAGTATGTCCAGGACAAAAAAAATAATCCGCAGTATTATTTTACAAATTCCCAATTAGGTACCTGTATATGATGTTGATCATGCTGTGTTCGCAGTCGTTGGTGCTGTGCACGCTAATCTTATCGAGCAGGTCAAGCAGGTGTGATGAGAAGTTTGAATCGAACTTGGCAATGGCTGCCTCAAAGCCCTCACTTTTCTGCATGGCATCTGCATGCTCGGCAAGGTACTGCCCATCACACATTAGCATACCACAAGAATGCATTATTCAGATTGCATAATGCCACTCATCACAAATAAGCAAATAAAATGTATTCGTGGAACAAAATGGTACGATACTCCTCAAACAGGACTGGCCAAATTAGACATCTCGTGTTGTTATTGACCAGACGATACGGTTTAAAGTAAATGTATAAGCATCTAACCATAACCAAGCAACATGCTAAAAAAATCATATCAGCCACGTTTTGACATGTTATCAGTATTCCATTTTGCTCTCTGCCTCACTTAAAAAAATGGTACGTGTGCATACCCTACCTTGGAAGTGAGTCTTTTCTTCTCAGCCTCCTGATCACGCTCACTCTGTGTGGGAGGTCCCTTCATGGTGCCATGCTCAAGAGAGATGCGTTCCATCTCTGCTTCCAGCGTCATGCTGTGCGTGAAGCGCTGCACATAGGGATAGGAGTCATTGACCTTGCATCTGCATGACATTGTTTATGTAAATTGTCCATGTACAACCGAGGGCCAACACAAACTTAAATATTTAAATACCATATTTTATCAAGAGAACAGCATAATGTTTCCAATGTCTGTAATAAATCCAACACATTTCTACAAGAAATGAAAAATAACCAGTAAGCTATTTCATACAAATTAAAACATAATAAAACGTGTCCAGGTATTAAAACACCCCAGCTGACCAGATTGCTAATCAACATGTCAGGTTTTCCTAAAAGGTGAAGTTTATTCAGAACACCAGCACACACCTGCATGCAGTTGGTGAACATGACACAGACGGACATGAGCTTGGATAGGATCTTGAGTAGTTCAGGGTTTGTTAGCATGCAGTCCTTGAGGCAGTTGTCCAGGAAGTTGGTGTGGTTGAACAGAACATCATCGATGTTGGATGCCTGATGGCAGATCATCCACCGTCAGATAAAAGGCCAGCATAGGTTTTAAAATAATATTTGTATTTATTTTACATAGACTTTCTCATAGCACAGCATACATTTGTATTGTATTGTATAATACAGTTTCATATAAAGCAATGAAACTTCACAAGCCTCACCGATTTCAGTTTGGTTTCCATTAAGTGCCAGTTGGGCTCTAAGACCTCAAACATCATGTAGTACTGGAAATTTTGAACAAAGTTGAGCATACGCTGACGAAGAGTGAAGGCAGGTGCAGACCTGCATGCCAACAAACAACCAATCCATTAATCTTGTTCCCAACGACTTTACATTGAACATGCATCTCAATGATGCAAACTAGCTCTCGAGCCCTTAACCAGCTGGTTCCCCTCATCAAAAGTGCAAGCACAGCTTACCACTTTGCGGAGCTCAGGGAGTGCTGCTTGGCCGATTTGCTACTGATCCACACGTTGCACAGTTGCCGCTCCACATGCTTGCAGTAGAAAAGGTGTCGGAAGAGCATCTGATACCTTGTCAAGGCTTTTCTATAGGCAAAATTATTATACAGAGCAGATTAAAATAACTACTTTGGCAAGGCTCTTAAATGTAAACAGGTAAATACTACTAATTGGCAAGGCTCTTAAAGATATACAGGAATACCTATGATAAAAAAAGGCTTTACCCCCTTTCTGGCAAGGCTCTACCCTTTCCAGAAATTTTGCCAAAAAGGGTAAAGTCTTTTATTTTTTCATGATACCGGCAAAAAGGGTTCCATAGACAGGAATACCTACGGAATAATAGATAACAATTGCTATCACATTTTCCCATAAGCAATGAATGCAGGACTAATAATTAGCATATTATGGTGGAATAAAACATTTTAACGTAGCTTCCGTATTGAGTTAAGATGCCCAGATTACTTAAAGCATACAATAATTATCCAGTGTGCAAATGCTGAGGAATAGAGGTTGGCCTTAAAAAACATGTACATGTTCATATTCACTGTCTGCGTGACTTTTGAGACACTTAAATTTTAGAATATTCTCAGTTATTTCGAAAATGTATCCAAATGTATGCAGATCTTCAGGAAACACACAACACCTGTTAATGATGAGCGAGAGCGGCCACTTGACAGTGTAGTCGAAAGAAAATGCCTCCAGCCCACTGAGTGAGATCTCTGTGGGATCGACAGCGATGAGCGCTTTCTCCTGCTGCGTCTCAATAGCCAACACACGTAGCAGCTGCGTGATGAGGTCGTGCGGCATCAGCTCGATCTGCAGGGAAAACGCACAATGACAGCGGTCATGAATATTTGTCCGTAGGCGGTGGATTGGTGGCTCATAATGAGACGGCGATGTTGAGATCTTGGATTCAAATGCGGGTAGCCACCTTCTATTAAACCAGGTTCTTAAGTGTATTGAGTTGACGGACTCAGCTGAGTGACGAATGACTATGCACAAAAAACGTTTGTCAAGAATTAAAAACATCACATTACTATCCGTAGGAAAACATGTGGGAAAATGTAGCCACATCCTAGTGTGGATAGGTTAGTGTGGGATCTCCGAAATAGTTTTGCGATGTTTTAGGAAAGTTCAAAATTGAAACTTTGTCTCGTGGCATAATGGCAAGAAACTATGATTTGTATTACATTTTTATGAAGAGAAAATGTTTTGTAAACAGTCAACAGCAATACAGTATAAGCCATATTCTACAACGCTGGTGGTATTCTCTGCTATAAACCAGGAAAATGAGAACCGGTCTCATTATATATTGACGTTGGAATGAAATGTACAGCCAGCAGCCATGCCTTAAGGTCATCTTTATAGGGATCCGTGTTAGCTGTGCTCATGCGCAGCGCTAGCTCCAACAGTGCCTCTAGTCGCGTGGGAATGATGTCATCTACGGGTCGCTTCAGTTCCTCTTCTGTCAGCTCCATCAGGTGCACAAAGAAATCGCCCTGGGCCAGGAGGAAGTATTGCTTTATCCACCTGTGCATTCACATACACAAAGGTTTGTTGAAGCTTGACAACAAAGCAAACAATGTGCAAAAACACATGTGAATTCCAACTGGTTACTTCCATGAGTTATTGTTTGAGAAATAATGTCACATCAGGATTGTTTGAAAACACATAAAATACTGGAAATTCCGAGTACCTTCAAACAGAAAACCCTCATGCTTAAAAAAACATGTTGCAATATCACAATCCCACAAAAAAATACACTCATCGTTGAGGCACTAATGCCAAAACAAGTTAAGCAAAATAATTCTAGTGTTTTATTTAAATTCATTTTGAAGTAAAAATTAATGCCTTTGTCCTGATGATGCATCTGTACCTGAGCCGTGTAAGCAGCTCCTTCTCTTCCATCAGAAAGTCAAGCAGCACCTTACTGGCATAGCTGTAGGCCTTCTCAATGTGCTCCGCATTGGCTCGCTCCTTCAGACTGTAAACCATCTCATGGGCGTCTGGGCAAGTCACCTCCCGGTCACACTCCCGTACCACATTCAGGTACTTTCCTGCAGGTGCCAGCAAATGCACGTTAATCAGCACAGTCTTAAACCAAATAGAACATTTAACGGTTAATAAAATTGTGACCACTCCACTGGGTGAATAAATGCCACACAGAAATCATGCGTTAAAATATGAAACCTGGTAAATATGGATTTTATTTGAACTTTATATCTGAGACATGTAACAAATCTTCACAGGAACATTTTAGGAAGGAAGCGTTGTACAAAGACCTATGTTCAATAGGTGCTTATCTGTGATTGGAACCACACAATTGTCAAATATTAAGTGGCTGCATTTCACCACAATGTTATCTGGTGGGCTGAATATATTGGCGCATATGTTGCATTTGCTGAAAAAAGTATTTGTGATACTACATCGGCTTTGACCTGTGCTGAGGATCTTGTCAGTGAGCTTCTGCAGGAAGGCAGGTATACGATGCTGCACCACTGTATAGCGCTGGTCCCAGTACTTGTCATTGTAGTCCTCCTGGATGCGCTCCTTTTGCAACTCGTGCTCCTCTACCATGAATTCACTGCTCAGCGACACACACACACAGATGCATACAACCAAACATTGGTCCAGAAGAATACTCGTACACATCGAAACAACTGAAACAGATGGTAGTTATTTTCATTGCAATATGAAATGTGTTAAACCTTTAGTAATTGTGTGGTAGGAGAGAGTTTTAAATATAACCAGGAAGAGTGATCTGATAGGTGGGGCACATGCGCAGAATGGAGTAGGTTACCAAACTTAGACATCAATGACCAGGAAGAAGACCCAGGGTCAGATTGTGGGATATTACATACAAGCCTTGGAGGCCAGATGTCGACTTTGCAACAACTAGAGGAAGTGATAGCCATTTATGGTGTCATCAATCAGAATGACCATGATCACCTCTTGAGGCCTGAAATTCTCATACCTGATGCTAGACCAAAGCCAGACCAAATTTCTGTTTATCACGTAGGCTTTCGCGACCAATATTATCCCTTATTATGGATAAATTTCGGTTCTAAAAGATGTAAATTGGATCCCATGTTTCTAATGTTGATGAGTGTTAAATGGATTTGCTGTGTATGGTGGTCTGCCATACCTGTAAGGGTCCTGAATGACTCCTTGATATATCCACTTCTCCAAGATCTCAAAATAAGGCACACTGGCAGCCTTGGTGAGGTAGAGACCCAGCTCCTGTGCCTGTGCATCGCCAGTGTAGTTGCAAGTGCGTTCATGCAGCAGGCTCACAGTTGCACCACCCATGCACTCGCCCTTGTCCACAGCCAGTGCTGCGTGTAGAAATACAACACAGTGGGTGTTAAAGTCTCCCTCCACACCTGCATTTCCATCGTCTTGGACTTTGAGTAACAAATGTGAAAGGTGAGTCGATTTCTCAGGAGCAATGCACCTATGGAGGCGAGAATCTCCATGGTCCTCATGGTGGGTTGGATGTAGAACCACAGCTTTTGCAGCGACAACACGCCCTGTCTGTGCAGATGCTCGAGCTGCGTAACGAGGATGAGGTACTCCTTGAGCAGTACACGCATGGCAGCGCACAGCGCATGGTTTACCTGCCCATACTCAAAAGACTCCTTCTCCTCTATGAACCTGTGGGGCAGAAGTGCACCATTTGCTTAGTCTAATATAATCATTTTACAAACTTTCTCAACACAGCGTAACCAAAAAAAATGACTTAATATGTAAATGCATAAGCAGCGGTGGCATTTTATCTATAGTGCACTCTATATCTAATATCCGTTTGCAAAAATCGACATTAAATCGAAGCTATGAGCTTAGATATTAGATTTCGGTAAACACAACACGTAACCCAGTGCAAAACTCGGTAAACAGCCTCTCGGACCATCATCTGCAAGTACGAGACGTCTCTTTCGCTACATCTGTATGAACACCGCAAACTCACCGCATGATGGCAGAGTAGTCAGCGGCCATGGGCAGAATTCGGTTGAGCAGCTCGCGCACAGACACATCCAGGCTTGGGTCGATGGAGAAAGTGCGTGTGGTCAAACGGTCAGCCAGCGGCCGCGACGTCACGTACTTGCCATCTATGCCGATCAGCAGCCACAGCAGGTCCTCTACTATCACCTGCTCTTGGATGGAAAGGGGCAGCGTTCCTGTAATGCAGAGAATATACAAAAAGGAAGTGATATTAGGTGGAGAGACTTGAACGAGAGATAGGTGGAAATTTTGAATAAGGACAAAAAAGACAATCATGTTTATTTAGAACAGCAATTTTGAAAACATGACCTAAGAACATTGCAATGTACCAAATTCTATTTCTGTAAATTGTAGTCATTATCTACCTAGTATTATTATCATGTGTAATGTCGTCTGTGTGTGCGGGTGGCGTGCGTCGCACACACAGTGAGCCAGAAACGAGGTGGTTGCAGGAGGCATCACTCTGCCCTTTTATTGTTGCTGCCGAGCTCACGCCACCACTCGGGCCCCCTCTCTCTCTCTCACGCGACCACGCTGCCGCACGACCCAGCCTAGACATAACCCTGCCTGCGTTGCACCGACGGCGTTGACCGAGACAGCTAACTACTGTCCGGCCGCGCAATGCCCGGGCGAAGGCGGTAGCGACGAAGGCAGTAGTGATGACGACAGCGCCGACGAGACGAGTCCAATTCCAGAACCGGCAGCCCGGAGCTCTCGCTCTCCCTGCTGCTGCTTATATTCCCCTCGGCGCGGCTTGGCTCCGCCCTAGCCACACTTCCCTTCTCGAACCCTCTAGAGGGTTCCAGGGGTTTCCACACGAGGTCTATCATGACCCTTACCCCAGTTCCTCCGCCCTGTCGGCACACCCGCGTATATGGTCAGCGGCGTGCGCTAATTGCCCAACTGCAGTTGCTGCTGCTGTCCAACAGTCAGTGCTGTGTCACTACACATGTAATTGCAATGTTTTCATATGGCTTATACGTGTACACAACAGTTTCTGTTTTTCTACAATCAATGAATATTACAGCTGACAGTTACAGTCTAGAATCAAGGTAGAAATGCCCAGCCAAGCCTGGCCAAGGTTTACTTACCAACAGGTACAGCGGGATCAGGCGGGGCCCCAGGGCCAGGCATGAAGTCCTCTGTGAGGGCAGGGCGGTCATATACCCATGAAGGGAATTGAGGGATCGGCTGGCCGGGGTTGCGTTTGTTATGCTTCTCTCTCAGCAACTTTCGCACCGTCTCTAAGGACTTCTCAATGCACACAATACAGCTGTGATTAAAAGAAAAAAAATTGCAGTTTTGCCACTGTTGCATACCCCTGGGAAATGAAGGACAGGCAAACAGATGGGAAAATGTAGTTATATTTAACATGCAAATTCTCTACTGGTTATTTTACAGTACAATAATAAAACAAATTTCAAATACTAGCCAGATAGGAAAAGGGTTATTTTCAGTACTCAGTCAGTTTTGTATTTTTAATTCTCAACCTGCAAGCAGTGTGGCTATTTAAACGAATCCTTCATGGTGAAAATGAAAAGATATACTCGTGTTTGTCTGATAAAAGCAGCACAGGTATATTCCTGAGCTGATGCCAAGCAAACACACCACCAGCTGCTGTGAGCTGCTGCTGGACGTGATGCTGCCCAGCTGTTTGCGCAGCTCCTCCAGCTCTTGCAAGGACATCTTGCTGGTGGTCGTTGGCAGTGTCACGGTGGTGGTGGTCGTCACGTTGGAAGCTGCCTCTGCAGCTGCCTTTTCAGCTTGGTTCTGCTGCAGGTACTGCAGCGTCTGTGTAGGAGAATTGGGTTATTGCAAAAATAAGGTCTGACCCTATTGGTAAATGCGCGTCACGCTTTATCTTTTAATTGCTAATATCCTGGAGAATTGGCATGCATCTAACCTCTTTGTCTTCAGTGAGCTTTGACAGCAGGTACACCAACGGGTCCAAATGTCTGACATTGCGTGATTTCAGCTCCTCATACCTCTTTAGAAATTCTTGAGGGGTAGACGTGAATTCTGCTATTTTAACCTGTGAAATTCAAATTCACGAAAGTGTAATTAACGCATATTCACGTACTGCAATGACGATACATCTCAAAAGCAGATGCACGAGCAGACGCGGCACCTTGGCGCTGTGCGTGGACACAGACGTAGTGACGTAGGGCGTGCGGTTCTTGAGCAGTAGGTCGATGTAGACCTCGGCGCCATCCCCTCCACGCACACGCAGGAGGCTCAGCAGCTCATTTACATCGTGGTGGATGCGAAACTCGCTCATCTTGACCGCAGTCCACTGTCAATATCCACCTGAAGAAAATTCAATGTAAGTGAAAGCTGCCAGTTTTTTTGCAAACACGGTTTCAAAATTGAGGATTTATTTTTTATATAATGGACAGCATGCATTACACACAAATCTATCTGTTAGTAAGGCAATACCTACCAATTATTAGCAATTTTCTGCCTGTCACATTCCATGAATTTCTTAGATCTGTTATATTAGGGAAATTTTATCTCAATGAAAATGGTGAGAACTTTATTACATAAGCATTTAATGAAGACATAGCGGATATCACTTGGTCTAGATTAATCGAGTTATATCCTGTAAACCTGTAATAAAAAAACCCAGCATGAATGACCTTCCATTCCACATCCCATTTGTAAAAATTAAACCTCTTTCAGCCTATTGAACTTCAAGACTAATGTTAATCGCAGCATTCTAATAAATACACATTTCTAAATTGATTTCGCCTTTCTGAGGCTCATCAACAAAGACACGATTTAAAAACACGTACTGCTGCTCTACCAGATGTTATTGGTCGGAGACTTATCTCTACACCATGTAATTTAACACCTGGAAAGCTCCACTACAACGCTCAGAAGTGTTATACAACATACATAATTGCACTGACGGTCAATGGCTAAAGTATGGAAGGCCAATAAGGTAACAAACCAGTAGGAGTTTCGTTTAAACGTACACCGAACAGATGGTGAGATATCAACCATAATGCTACACGACAGCACCACGTAGCCGACAATATAATTAGGGGTCAGTAAATCACTTTCCCCTTTCCTAATAAGACGTCTTGATTACAGATCTATATACATTAGACCTATATAAACTATACAAACTTGCTAATGGTGCGTTATTAATCACGGGCGATGACATGTCCGAGCGGTACCGCGTTTTCTTCTCGCTCGAGGTTTGCAGTTCGAACCCCCCTAGCCGCCCTGGTTAATAGTAAGCATAACATCGCACCGTCTCCTCAGTGGACCCGACAGACGTTCATCCTAAAGAGTTGACCAAGGGTGCCGGCAAATGCTCCACATTATTATATTTGACTGATAAAATTATCGAACCGTAGACTAAATACAGTTCCCACTTGCAGGCCGGTTGCTGCGTTCGCTTTGTGCTGCCGCGCCAGGAGAAGCTTCCACTTTGGGGCGGGAGTGTTGGGTGGTGAGAGAGGGCGGGGGGGTGGTCGCCTAAATTAAAAGGTCGACCAACTGCACGGATGAAACGTCGCTTAATGAGACCACTGTCATGATTCCTTAGTGGACGTTGAGGCCCGGCCTCCCATCAATCCCCAAGCCTTCCAACAACCGTAACAGCAGCGGCGACCACCGCCTCTGTCCCACCGTGGCAACGAAGCGAACGACACGCGACGCTCGGCAACGTACGCGTCCCTGTGGCGGCAACGCTGCACGGGCGGTAAAAATAAAAAAAATAACAACAATCGGCGCGAGGTTGAAGATTTTGTCGCCGCTCCGCGAGGCGACAGAAGGCGGCCCGAAGTTTCCTCACCCGCCGCGGCCACCGCCAACAACGCGGCCGCGAGCAGCACGAGACACCCAGCCAGCCAGCCAGCCAATGGGCGCGCAGCTTTCGCTGCCCACGTGCCGCGCGTCTACGAATCGCGAGGCGCGCCGGGGTGGGGGAGGGGGGGGTAGGAGGCGAGCGGCTCCGCCTCCCGGGCCTTGGCCCCTCCCACTCGCCACACCCCCCCGACCACGCCCCGCCCCCCTCCCACGCCGGGGCGGGCGACGAATTTGCGAGGCGACTTTTGGCGCCCTTTTTTTTGTGTTTGCGCGTGCGGGAGGAACGGTGGTTCAGTCTCAGTTTCATTCATTAGGTAGAGCCCCGTGAGCCATTCGGCTCTTGAATCGGGTGCAACCGCAACAAACAAAAGACATGAACAAGAAAAACATCTTAAAGTGACTGTGACTACGCGCAAACAGAAAAATCCAGGGGGAAAAAAAACAGCAAAAATCTTCCAGAAAAATCACCGTACACCAACGCTGTGTGCAAAAATCCCAGTGGGATGCAAGTAAAACAATAACAACCATAAGACAATTTAGGTTAAAGTTATCAGTCTAACTCTGTACTACAACAAACAAATATGGCTAAACCAAAACGTTTTCGAATTCACCGAAATAAAGCTATAAAAAAACAATGTAACAGTGATCATAGGAACTGTGATTCAAATTTAACAATAAACGATATATACACATAACATGTACGACCAAACTTTGCAGCCATAGCTGGCAGCATGAGTCACTCCATAACAGTAGGAGTATCAGTAGGAGTAGTAGTATCAGTAGCAGTATCAGTAGGAGTATTAGTAGCAGTATCAGTAGGTGTATCAGGAGTATCAGTAGTAGTATCAGTAGCAGCATCAGTAGGAGTATTAGTAGGTGTAGTATCAGTAGGAGTATTAGTAGTATCAGTAGGAGTATCAGTAGGAATATCAGTAGGCGTATTAGTAGGTGTAGCAGTATTAGTAGGTGTATCAGTAGGAGTATTAGTAGTAGTATCAGTAGGAGTATTAGTAGGAATATCAGTCGTAGTATCAGTAGGAGTATTAGTAGGTGTAGTATCAGTAGGAGTAGTATCAGTAGGAGTAGTATCAGTAGGTGTATCAGTAGTAGTATTAGTAGGAGTATCAGTAGTATAAGTAGGTGTATCAGTAGGAGTATTAGTATCAGTAGTAGTATTAGTAGTAGTATCAGTAGTGGTAGTATCAGTAGTAGTATTAGTAGTAGTATCAGTAGTAGTATCAGTAGTATTAGTAGTAGTATCAGTAGTGGTATCAGTAGTAGTATCAGTATTAGTAGTATCAGTAGTAGTATCAGTAGTATTAGTAGTAGTATCAGTAGTAGTATCAGTAGTATTAGTAGTATCATCAGTAGTAGTATTAGTATCAGTAGTATTAGTAGTAGTATCAGCAGTAGTATCAGTAGTATTAGTAGTAGTATCAGTAGTATTAGTAGTAGTATCAGTAGTAGTATCAGTAGTAGCATCAGTGGTATTAGTAGTAGTATCAGTATTAGTATCAGTAGTAGTATCAGTAGTATTAGTAGTATCAATAGTATCAGTATTAGTAGTATCAGTAGGTGCCAGCGGGTAGCGCGCTGCGCCACGAACCCGGCCACCCCCGAGTTCGATTCCCGCTCACGGCCACCACCAACACCACCAGCGGTGACGATTGTCTGAACTGGTCCTGGGCTCCCCCCCGCTAGGTCTACTCGGCCTCAAATGAGTACCCGGTGTGGCGGTGTGTAAAGATCTCCACTGGGGGAGACAAAGGCGGCCGGGCGTGGTGGTCGCGTCGGCCACCCACAGTGCTGCTGCTGCTCCTCGCTAACTGCACTTGCCCCTACAGTCTGTTGCAGGCTACCCGGGGGATCTTTGTCTTTACCCGGCGGTCTGGAAAGGAAACATTGGAATGGGGATAAAAACGTTCCGGCTACGATTGTTGTATAAATTGTATTCGCAACACGATTTGTGTGGTGTGAGGGTTTTTTTTGCGTATGCTTATAACGCAACTAAAATAATTATACATGTGGACATCATTCATCGTGTTTGGCTTTATTGAAGATGTATCTTTTGACCCGGTTTTTTAATAAAACAAATTTAGGCCATCCGGTACTATTTTGTCTTAAGTCGTTGTTTCCCCCGGGGCAGCCAGCTGAGTGGAGACACGCATCGCTGCTGAATCGGCCACTTCGCGCTGTCGGTGACGTTCAATATCGCTCCGTCATTCTCCTTATAAAGTTACAATATCGCCGCCGCTGTGGCTGTTGTTGTTGTTAAACGGTAATTAAGTGTTGTATACCTGTCAACACATACGGTTTACCCCGTATTATTTCTGATAACAGGGGACATTGAGTTTTCAGGTCCGTACGGCGTACAGCCGTTTCAATACGGGCAACAAATTATTTGTTTCTGTTTCTCCCTTGTGATGGGACTTTGCAGGATGAACGTTGCGATTTAGAAGGGGCACGGGTGGCCAATAAGGCCTGAATTAGTCTGTAACAAGGTAGACACTGATAAGCAGTTGACAGATATGGTGTTGTCGCTGCCATTCAATTCGCTCAACGCGTAAGGCCGCGAACAAATCCAGGTTGGGTGTCCACGAAGCCGGTGCCATGTTGTGGGAAAGTCAACGGTGACCGATTCCGTGGTTAGGCTGCTCCCCTGCCACGCTAATGTGGCATTACAATCACTGGCTCGGGGGCTCTTGCTGCCGCACGCCGTGCTAAAGTGGCATTACAATCACTGGCTCGGCTGTGCTGCCCCACGCTGGGCTAATGTGGAATTTCAACCACTGGCTCTGCCAGGGCCTAGGTGCACTGCAGTTTCAGTGTAGTCGCTGTAGACACACTTATCGCATCGTGACTGCACCGTGCGATCGGTTGCGATGCGTCTAAGCCATGGGGTATTTTTGTTGCAGTTGCATGTAATCGTATGTGACTAGTTGGCCCGTGGCCGCCTTAGCGGTCACTAAAAGTTATGTGCTGCGTGCTGCTCGTTTTTTTATTCTATGCTTAAACCTAGAGGTCAGCAACAAAAAATAAGCAGAGCCATTTTTCTATTTGGTAAAAAACCCCTAAATATTTCAAGAGCCGCAATGCCATATGAATATGAGACGGTGGGCCCATAATAAACAACTGTCACAAAGGAGCCCTTAAAGGGGCCGCATGCGGCTCCGAAGCTGATGATTTTCCGACCCCTGGTTTTAACCTGAAACGGGGAAGTTGAACCCCACTTGTTAGACCCCAACCCCCTTATTCTCGGCTCCACTACCCGTCCAATTATCAGAGCATGTCTTGTTAGCATGTTCACCACAAGTACGTGAGGTTAATGCAGACTTCATTCCTTGCAAAATGTTTCTATTTGGTGTTTGAACATCTTAACATCTCTTTTATAGCCAGAAAGAGTAACACCTAGTCTTATTTTTTCATACTTTACATCCATTTGGTATAAAGTGGTACTTTTATAATGCTACAGGTATATTAGCAAGGAGTGGTTTGTAACAGAATGGGCCATACTGGAAGAGATCCTGTAACTAATTACGTAGGAAATTTAAATACCGTTCAATGTCATTACGTACATTCAATGGATTATACAGTGACAACAAAATTGATCGCAACATGGCAGTTATAGCTACGTATCTACTCCATATATTTCAGTTCGTGTGTGTTTTTATAACTATGCTTACTGTAATTGTTATTTTTCATAATTGCGATAGTACTGTAACTATGCGATGGCATTGCTTATGTGGCTAAGTTTGTGTGCAAGTTGTGTGTGTTTGGTGTTCACATCATACTAATCACCGTGAATGATAATTTATTTTTGATCGAGCACCTTTTGACGATGGGTCGTCTCAGACCGCTTTACACACGATAATCGATTTCTTTCTTTCGTATAGCTGCTGATGTAGAAGCAGAGCAACAACTACAATTTCACATTCAGGTGGTCAAGCCAGATTACTGCATTGGATAATGTAATCTCATCCCATCTCAAACTTTTGAAATGGCACCCCCAGTGGAACCTGTCCCTGTGGACACAAGGTGACAAGCACCTAGCTTGCAAATCAAATATATATTTCAAAAAATATGTTAATCCCAATTGAGTATTTTGTGGGTAATTTCTCTCGAATTTGGACCGATACCAGCACAAATGGCCTCGTTTCGAATGACGTTTGGGGATTCTTTCACGTCGACTGTAGCTTATATATCTGCAGTAATAACCAAGGCGGCCGCCGGCCTCAAACCACGAACCTCTGCAGCAAGCGGTGCTGGGCCACGTCATTGTTGACTATATTGAAATGAGCTTCTTGCCTGTGCAGTGCAAGGAGACGATGGTGCACAGTTGATCATTGTGGGTGGCCAAGGAGATGGAGTGGCCACTGGACCTGGCAAATGTCCTCACCTCCTCGTCAGCCAAAGAGCGGGACATCGAGGCATTCCCGGTGATCTCAGCCAGTGACCCAGATGCTTCCTTCATCTTCCAGCCACAACAGATTAGTTTTGGAAAAGACAACCCGTTTTTTGAAGTATGTACTATTCACGGTAGTCAGGAGAAACTGCTCTTCCACCTATAGAAATTAACAGCAGTAGACATGATAGGGTTCTTAAATTATTATTTCCAGTGGATCACAATAAAATTGGCATGTACTGGTTGGCCACATGTCACATGGCATAACGGTTATAAATGTGACCGCTAATCTGTACCTCTCCTCGTCTATCTTGTTTTATTGTTTTCATCTGCATAATCTTTATCTGGTTTCTACATCTCTTCATGTTTATTATTCAATCTTTATGTCGTGGAAATCCATATCTCTCAATGGGCCATAGCTCAGCTGGCCACCCCAACATCCTTCATGAGTCACATCTGGCCTGCGGGCCACCAGTCAAAGAACCCTATCATGATAACACAAAGTATATATGTGTAAAAAGTTATTTACGTTTCTCTTTTCATTCCTGAATTATTTAACTTTTTATTTTTCGTAGAATAGCTGATTGCCAAGCCCAACTATTTGGGTATGCTGACAGTAAAACATTGCACATTTTGTATATGGTATATACCTGTACATAATGAAGTGATTATTGTATTGAAAGTGTTGTTTATGTGTTTTTGTTTCTTTGTACTGTATTAAAAAAACTAACTCCGCGATTTATTTTTTAATATCCACTTACCATTTTCAGGATGGGGATGTTTATCGCCACATGTACATACGAGATGCTCTAAGCAGCTATGAAGAGGACATCGAATCGACTAAGTATGTACTGAAGGATACATATGACCTGCTTTGTTTGAAACACATTATTGCAAGCAGATGATATTTGATGGATTTCCACTTTTACATTTGCAAATGTTCACAAGTTACGTATAATATTTTGATTCCTCGTCTACAGAAATATGCTGGCATAACTTTAGATTATATTATTTTTGGACAATGTGTATATCTACTTACACTAAAAGCCAATACAGTAATAAATGTGTTTAACTTGTCTGAATTACAATATAATGCCATGCGTAACAAATTCACATCCGACTTATGCATGCAGCCAGTGAATTGAGTAAATTGTGTGTACGAATAATCGGACTCCTAATATAATATACACTTTGTGTAATTTCGACTGAGCTGTTGCGCCTCTGATGGTGGTGTGGCAGGGTGGAAGCTTTTGGATGCCACATAGCAGCCTGTGGGCAGGTGTTTGATACACTGGCAAGCTACGACCACCATTACAACGCAGCACACAGGCACGTGTGTATGACGTGCCACCGCTCGTTCCCCTGCGGCCATCTGCTGGAGGTGCATATCTCAGAGTGGCATAACGTCCTCTTCGATGTCATGGCTCAACGGCAGAACATGGTAAACCAAAGTTTATTTTTTTTACTTCCTGCTCCATGAGCTATATGCGTTGCACCTGTGTATACATGCAGGAAAGCGTTGTACATTTGAATGAAGCTTAACAAATTTGGCTTTCTATAGCAAGGAATGGTATGACAAGCCCTGTTGGAAATGGCCAACTTGGGGTATGCAATAATTATGTGCAGTCCTGATATAATGGGAATGCTGCACTGGTGTCATTGTTAGCGCACTGAATTTGTAATCCAGAGGTTGCTGGTTCGATCTCCTGACATGGCAGTTGAAAAAATGGAAAACTTTATTAAATACCCCCACCTCTGTCCACCCAGCATTATTAATGGGTAAACCACAGTTGATGGGCAGGTCACATGTTGTGGGGTAAAGTATGGTTACTCCCACCTCTTAAGAGATGTCTGGCCAGCATGGAAGAGTAGGCAGAATACCCTCTAGAGCGCGATCTAGTTGAAGCCCTTCGGCCACCAGTGGCATGAGCAAGACATTTCATGGATGCATCTTTTACTGAAAGGATAGAAGCCATTAATATGGAAGAGATTACAACCAAGTGCTTATTTTTAATTGTGTTGGAATGCCACAGTACCGATGCCTGGTGGAGAGCTGTGGAGAAAAATTTGCGACGACCAAGCATAGGAAGCAGCACCTGATCAAGATTCACAGCTACCCCTCCGACTTTCGCTTTGACCAACCTGCCAAAGGCCCCAAGCTGTAAGCTATTATTCCCAGAACACCTTGTCCGACAACTATGCTCTGGTCAATTTATGGGATATAAACTGTATAATAACAGTATTATAATCAGAACTCCGGAATTAAATGTATATTGGTTGAATACAACTCGAAGCGACAATTTAAAGACTATTTGGTTGTATAAGTACATGACGTGAGTACTGAATGGGAAAAAACGCATGCAGAAAGCCCAAAAAACAATGGGCTTATTCTGTTGTTGATAACTCAGTTTAACTATTGAAGATAAAGTTAATACACATTGTGTTTGCTATGCTTGTGGATATACTCTATACGATTTATGCATTTTAATTCAACTGTCGGTTGACATGGTGGCAATATGATTATCACGTTTACAGTTATAATACTTGCCATGCTTTTTACGTTACTTTTACAGCTCTAAAACAACTAAGCAAATGCAGCCAAGCAAACATGTATCAGGGGTTCCAGGTGGCTGTGAAGGAATGGACGAGATTCCAGTTGAGGCCATGGATGTATGTTCCGGCGGTGATAGTGAGGTCTTAACCCCAAGCCCCGCCACCCGACACAACAGGTGACTACTCACGCTGGAAGGTTGCTACATCCATCGGTCAACTATTTCTGTCCAATATGGTAATATATCTCATCTGAAAGGTGGATGTGAGCATATTGAAATGCTTTTGAAAAACTGAAGTTAACAATGGAAATCAACATACCAATGTGCCTGAAGAAATTATGAATAATATCGATGTTACTATGACATGGATTAGAAAAATTATTTTGACAAAGAAACAATGAAGAGTGCACAAATCAACTGGGAGGTGCATGGTTGGAATTCAACCAAGGGGCAGAAATAGCAACATTAATGAGACAAATAATTCACTACTTCAGCCCACCGGTGTGTTGAAGAGTTAATCCACATTTACAGTTTGAGTACGACGTTTCGCTGGTAAATACTTCCAGCATCATCGGGCAATTCGCCAGAATGAGAGTACATGCAAGTTCGACACCATATTCACTTTTCAGAAAATCAAATTGGCTTTTTCAGGAGACGTTGCTAGAAAGGTTTTATATGCAGTGATCGAGAGGCTCCTCAATATGATATGCACCGTGGAGGTGGTGATTCAATCGCCTCGTTTGTAGGTGATAGATACGTTTTTTTTACATCAGGAGACCACGTGATATGGTGATAGCTTGGCGATTTCATCATCCTGCTGTGGATGTATCATGGCTGATGGTGATGACGATTTTTAAAGGTTTTGTATATTTCTAGAGGATATTTTTCGTGACTTAATATTTTTTGTCATTTGGCAGAGTACCTCAAACTATCTGTTTTGGACATGGCTCAGCGAGAACCTTCCAGCGAGGAAAGAAGAAGAGATGACTGCTGTCCTTTTGCCTTGGCAGTTTTCTCGAACAAAACACCTTGCTTACATTTTGTGTCCGTGTATTTCCAGTGATTTTAAGGAATCAATGTTAATTATGTTCTCATACTTGCAGTTTGACAACATTTGTGTTATTAATAAAGGCCTGCATTGAATGATTGGCTCTGCTTTAAGTTAATAAAATACAGTCTTTAATTTATATATTTAAATGAATCACCATTAATCAATTGTCATTAGCAAACAAGCAAAGAATAAGAAATGGAAGCAGTGATGATATTTTATAACCTGACTTATGGATTAAGACTGAAGGAGGTGGTCAAAAGATGCATTCCTGAAATCACTTGCTGATGCCACTGCTGCTGGAAGGGCTTCTGGGGAGCCCCCTCTAGATGGTATTTTGAACTTTTCCACACTGGACAGATGTTTTGGAGGTCAGAGTCTTCTTCTTTCGTATGGATTGCAGATTAAAGATGTAATTTGAGATGTTATCCACTCAGTTGTTCAGAAGCGGAGTGTATCTTGTCCATTCCTCCTTTAAAGGAGTAAAGACAACAGCAGCGGCCGATTGTTTACGATTTGGTCGATGGTTTGGGATTCGTGGCCACACTCGCAGGCTGCCGAATCTTTAATGCGCCATTTGTGCATCGGGTGGCTGCATTGCCCCTGCCCGCTCCTAATTCGGTTGATGGTTGACCCTTGGCGGCGTGGAAGGTTGAAACCGGGAGGTCGGAGTACCCACACTACACCACACACAACCTGCCAATCGACTAACTGTGGTGTACACATATATACTGATGGGAGGACAGAGGGATTTCATAAACTTGCTCATTGTTTCAACTGCCGTGCCTGGAGATGAAACCGGCGACCTCTGGGTTGATAGTCCAGTGTACTAACCAATAACACCATGGCAGCATCCAGTGCATGCTGGGAGAGTAGGCTAACACCCACTCTAAGTGGGTTCTATAGAGCTCTTGGCCTTTCCACCAGCAGTGAATGAAGAAATTGCAGGGCTGCACGTTCATAAATAGCTTGAGTATATATTTTTTGTATATGGAATGTTCAAACAGTTGTGATTTTTGAAGACATTGCAAGTGGTGTGGAATCGGTCAATACACATTAATATTTTAACATCTTTGGAACTATTGCAGCCATTCATAAACAATGTTTTTGATATGCCTGCAAAATTTAACATTTTACACCCTGACAACATTTCAATGCTTGTGCTGGCTTCAACTTTTTAATTACCCACAATTTATTTTTCAAGTACAGTTATTTATTTTTATTTCTACAAATTTCATTGTATTGCACACAATACTGCAGATGCCATTTTTTATCATTCTGATGTTGATGAGCATGGCATTAAACTTAAGAGCATAATTGTCTTGGCCACTAACATCTCTTGATGTAATCCAATATCATTTTTTCTTTAAAAACCACCTAAAATATAAAATGCGATCTGCTCCGTAATGTTAAACAGTTTTTTAGTTCATTGGCCGCGTGTTCCTCATTTTGACTGTTATGTTAGCAAGCGTTGGGAAGTGTGCTTGTCAGCTGCATTTCCACATGGAATGCAACAGGACCTAGAACATGTGTAAAACTTATCTTTTGGGGGGAGAAAAGGGAAGGTCAACATGTGCATACTTGTTAGGAAATTATAATTAGTCAATTATTATAACACTAGTTTGTTATAAGAGTGGAATGTTTTGATGACAGGACGGGTCGACACGTAATATTACACTAAGGGATAGTTATTTCAGATAAGTTAGTGTAATTGTAAAAAAATGTAAAAACATTCCAAGATATATTCGAATTTAAAAATGCCTTTAACTCAATAAAAATTTTCTTACACAATCATGTGCAGACTTTTACATATATTTAAAGATTTTTACATTTATACAAACGTAACTTTTACGTAAAAAAAATATTTGATTAAGACTGTAAAAATGTTTGACCAACATCTCAACCATGTTACCATCACGGAAGATAAAAATGGGATGTGTGAAAGTTTGTTTCTCCATATCTTTTACTGCACAAGATGTGGCTACATTTCTCAACTTGTGGTTTGCTAAAGATTTGCAGTAACATTCTGCAACTGTACTGCATATATAATATAACTTCGGGTTTTTGTATTTTAAAATAGTCTCGTTTTAATGTTTAAATGCATAAACATTTCCCGCTCTAATACATTATAAAATCACTGAAAATATGTATTTCTTACAGAATGAGGCATAAATGCGATTGCAAGAATGCTTTTAAAGCAATGGTGCATCCAAGTATATGGTTGGTGTCATGGCCTTAAATGTACTTAGCAAGCCATAGGGTTGCAGCATAATGATCTTTGACGATATTATACGATGTTAACTTTCACCAGTCAACAAATCAATTTGAATCAATGTTCACGAAATTACGATTATCGCGGTGTTCGTTTCTTATAATCTTGTAATGATGCCGGTTGTAGTTGCTGGCGAAACGTCGTACTCGGATTGTAAATGTTGTGGATTTGCTCCCCAACACACCGGTGTGTTGCACTAGTAACGAATTGACATGTTCTGTTTACGTGGCAAACCTTACTAATTGGCTGTGTCGGGTGGTGGCGGGTTTAACGACACATTTATATTTACGCGATCTAACCCCAAAAAAACGTGTATTATTAACTTGTAATTGTATTTCAGACTTTTACAGTATTTTTTGGTGCTTGCTGTACTATGCATGTCAAGATTACTTAAGAGTCCCTTAACTCCAGTTCACTCAATATCAGCCTGCCATAAACCTTGTAATCACTGCAACTTTACAATCTGTAAGACTTATAACACAGCCTGTCAGACAAAATTAATAAATAAGTGTATGACCAATGCAAACGATTATAATTGCTTTGTCATTTAACCTGGAAAATATTTAACAAATGATTAGCTGGATATTGATATGTTTACACCCTCAGTTATTCCATTTGCTTTTGCATATTTGTTCAAAATTTTAAATATAGAATATATTATGAAGTATAAAATGAGCAAAAACAACCTTTAAAAAAAGTACGTTTGTCAAAGAATTTGTATCGTACCATTTATCATATCGCCATATTGTGGCAACTCAACTAGCCGTGCAATATCGGAAAGAGATTTTACTTTTATTATTTAAATGTACAACAACTCACCTGAACAATGATTGGAATTGTATCCAAATAAAACAAATTCATAGCAGATCCATGTGGACAAAAAAGGTCAAGGTTGTCATTCCTAGTTTGGAATAAAATCCCAATAATGCTCTCCTTTTAATCTTTATTGAGGGATTTACTTTCAGGAAGCTGTGTGAAGGCTGCTGGCCTCTGGTTCCTCCCTCGGTGGAGGGTTGCTCCCTGGGGAGCTGCTGCCTCCAGACCCCTCCTCCGTCCCTTGAGAGTCGGTGCTCCCCATCTCTTCTCCTCGTGCCGCGGCTCCCTGGGTCCGCGACCCCACCCCCTCCATATCCTCCCTGTGACGCGTACTCGGGGCTGGCACTCGGCCGCCTAGAATTAATTTCCTCGTCTCCTCGTGTTCACTCCTACAAACGTCAGTGGGAGGCTCCCCGCACGGACACGCAGCCACCCAAAATCCGACGCCGCTACTCTCCCGGGGCCGCGCACCAATCGTACGCGCAGAACGTGGGGTAAGGGGTTAAAGGGCAGTGACGTCACTCGCACGCGCCGCCGCCGCAGGTGCGCAATGGAAAGGGCCCACAGGGCTCCGGGGTGGTTTATTCGGGATGGGCTTTAGGACGGGTATCATTCAGGGGCTGCTGCCACACGCTCACAACGAGCCACACGCATGGGCGAGCGCAAACACGTGGGCAAATACGCACTCGCACGCAAACACAGGGTACAACGACGCAGGAACCCCGGTCGGGCGCGCACACAACGGCCGCCTCAACAGAGTTACCCGCGCGCAAATCTCCGTGCCACGACGAGCGGAATCACACCACCATGCGCTCTTCCCAAACTCGCAGAAACCACACGACAAGGTTATTGATCACTAACAGTTTATTCTCGGCGAGTCCGAGGCTAAATATTACGTAGCCCGGAGTCAATATTAGTAGAATAACTAACCTATTCCCGACGGTCTGAGACCCAATTTGTCACGTCTATTTCGAATTAACCTCCCTAGGCTTTTACGCTTAAATCCCAACTCTCTCTCGTACTCACGGTTCGCCTCGGATGCGCAGGTCGTCGAGGAGAGACGAGGCTGCACGAGGTTCTTGCTGGGAGCGGGGCCTGGCCGCGCTGAGACTCGTCACACGGACGACCCAGTGGCCGGCAAGCTGACTGCTCTGATGGCTGACTTGAGGAGAACGCGAACTGCCCATCGTCGCTCTCCTCTCCCATTTTATCCTTCTCTACATCAAAGAATCCCTTGGCTAACCCGCGATCCTTCACGGCCATTGGCGCGCCCCCTTTCGGTGCCCTCAGCGCCGTCCGCTTGCCTCTTTACACATCAAAGGGGCCGCTGCTGGGCCGTTGCCATTGGCCGTGGTGTGCAAGCATACTTTTCCAGCCAACCAGATGTTTCACCTGGTGCTCGTGTGGACCTTCAGGACCCTAACCTGCCAGCCAATCAGACGCCTACCCGGCTTATCCTGCCTCCTGTGTGCTCTTAGCCCATCGTTCGTGGCACCGTCCACCTCCTACCTGCCGTGCTCTTGTGTATCCTAACCGCGGTGACTGAGTAGCCTCGTCGTGACCATGCAATTGCACGTCAATTCACGGCTCCGTGGTGTAATTCAACCTGGGGGAAGTCGGGCAATTCCCTGGCCCCAGGAAACCGTGGGGGATGTCCCTACGAGGAGGGCCCCTGGGTGTAAACCTGGAGGCCAGGTGACTTCCCCACGAGGTCCTACGTGGGGGTGTGTTGTGTGTGTGTTGTGTGTGTGTTGTGTGTGGTGTGTGTTGTGTGTGTGTGTAGTGTGTGTTGTGTGTGCTCATTTGGGGGGTGGTGAGGGAGAAGCAGCGTCGGCCCGGACGTTTTCTCGTGGTGGCGTCGCAGGTACGGCTCAGGTACGGCTCCGACGGAGCGGCTTGGCTGCTGTGGTACCACAGCTGCTTTGGCCATAATCTGACAATTTTATTTAAACAATGTACACGTACAGTCCTTTTGTGAAAGCACTGCTCGATGAGAACCTCCTCTCGCACACCATGCAGGTTATGACTATTATTTCGCCTTCATGTTCAGTGAGGGTTGGTGAACACAGGGAGAATAAAAGTAGGAGCATTTTAATGTAATAAAACAATGAATGTGGCTGCATTGGCCTTTGCTACCCACAACATAGCCCAACACCCTATAAGGATTTTCTGTGCACCGATCCAAGTACTATCCCGACTCAACCCTGCTTAGCTTTTGAGATCTAATAAGATTGTATTGCAGATTATTTGGACATAGGCACATTTAAACAATTATATACAATATTCTAAAATAGTACAGCTGCTATGGCTAACAATATATATGTAGAGTTGTACATTGTAGTAAGAGGTGGATTACGATCAAATGTTTTTCTTAGATAAACCGAAAAAAATCATCCGTTATTGCAACAGTAGCTTTTGATTGTCGCACAATGGCACTCAAACGTTGTTTTTACACAATTGTTTCCAGTAAGGAAACAACTTGTTATGAAAGCTAAGAAAAGGAAATCTTTGCGATGTCCAAACTGTCTGATGCAGACCACTGATTAGATGTTGGCTCATGCCATATGTGCTTTATAAGAAAAAGACAGCCCCTGGGTATAACTGCTCTGGGTTCTCACCTGGGCTTGAGTGCAGACACCATCATGGCTCTTTCTCATGCGCTGCTGCTATTGCCGCTGCTGGTGGTGACTGGGCTCTGTGTGCTCGTGTCCGCCGATCAATATTGTCCCTCCTGCAGACGCGTTTGCTGCAGGAATGGTTCAAATTACTACTGCTGTTACAATGAAAAGGCAAGACAAGCTTGATTTGAACATTCGGTTTTTTGCACATTACTTGATTTTTTATCAAAATGCCACCGATATGGAGAAAATCTTGGCAGCAAAACAAGTGTTTTGTACTCAATGATTTTACATGCTGCTAAACCTTTTAAATCACATTGTAGTTAGTCCGTATCTATTTCAGAAGATAATTGTTTCAAAAGATCTCTCACACCTAGTATTAATGAATAAAAATGCAAATTTTGTCGCAAAAATAATGCCTTATTTCGAGAAACCGTATCCTGTTTTTTGAGGAGGAAGTTAAGTTCTATTAGGAGCTGCAATTTTTGATGTTGAACAGTATCAGCACTATTTTTTTCACAGAGCAAAGATTTTGTAGATCAGTTCTCTAATCTTTTTCACTTTGTGACTACAACATCGAACCACACGTATTCCAATGTGCCATTGTATGACACTAATAATTGCTCTCAATGATTCATAATTATATTGGCTCTGCATTGAAGATGAATGCATAATAACCGATGTGATTCGTGTGAGTGGCCGCAGGCTGAGAATGGTGGGGGTCTGCGTGTGAGAGTGGTGTCAGTGATGCCAGCACAGGCCAGCTGCTCGGGTTCTGACTGCTCATCCGATGGAGAATCTTCCTTCCCCAAGGTGTGAGAATCGGCTGGGAGAGACCCTACAAGCCCTTCCACTCGCCAAGCTTAGCGTGGCGAGTGGACACCAATGTCCTTCCCCCTGCACCTCTGATTGGCACAGTTGGCTACGTACGGTGCTCAAGAAGTTCAACACACATATAACCCTGAAGACACGATGGAAATTCCATTGTATTTGTTAGCAATGTACATTGTCGTATTTTTACAAACTGCATTTATGAGAATTGCATATTTAACAGCAGTTTCCAATGAAGGAAAATCATGTTATAAATTGACGTTCACGACCTCATGTTCAAAATACAGTCCACTGTATTCGGAAAATTGCCCTAAATTATGTAGAGCACGGAGATTAAAATGAATAGCAAAATAATTTAGGTTTCAGGAAATATTAAATTATTTGAATGTTGAAGTAGAAAATGGGTTTGTGTTAACCATAATGGTGTATAATTAAGGGTGTTGATGTATTCTTGCGAGTGTTGACACGGTGATGATGGCCTGCCCAGGGCTCATGCTGTAGCGACGGACAATCGTGCTGTGGCGAAGGATTCACCTGCAACAACTTAGTAGGAGTCAACCTTTGCCTCCCCAAAGACATCTTTAAGGACCCAGGTGAGAGGTTAAATGTATTCACTGTTGTCACACCAATTCTCACAATGCTAGTGATTGTAATTCGTGTGCGTTTTTAGTGGCCGCGTTGACAGTTTTGTGATATTTGAAATCGTCCTCATTTGAGCGTCGTCCGTCCTAACTCACAGACCCAAACAAATCCAATTATAATAATGAGTTTCATGATTAATCTTTGTTTTTTTCGGTAAAGTCACATATAAATAAGAAATAATAAAATAACATAATAGCTTACGACGTTTCGGTTGCAACACAAGCAGCCATCATCAGGTACAGAAGAGCTAAATTTACGAGAGAGGGGAAACACATAACCCCAGATGTATACACAGACACCCAAGTAGGGGGAACTAACACCGACACAATAGGGGACACAGAGAGAGAAGCATACCAAACAGACAGAGTTTAGCAAAATTTGGAAACCATATAAAGCAACACAGACGGTCGGTCAAAACACAATTAACGCGTAGCCTGGATGATTACGTTATTTCAAAGATTGCTAAATTGCAAGCTTCGAACCAAGTTTAAACCGCCTCTACGGGGAGGTATAAGGTCTGTATCTTTGTGTCTGTCTTTGTGTTGTCTTGTGATGTCTGTGTGTTGTCTCTGCTTGTGTATCTGCCTTTGTGTCTGTGCTTGGATTTGTTTCATGATTATTTTTGTTTTTCACTCCCCAGTGCTCGACGACCTGAGCCGTGAGCAGCAGGATGGTTGCACGGACAACAGCGAATGCCCTGACGGGAGCGAGTGTCAGGGCGCGAGTGGCGACCTTAAGGGGCAGTGCGTGAACTCAGCCGCCCTCATCCCCTGGTTGAAGAAGGAGGCTGCGCTCTCAGGCCCTGTTGGAGACAACCTCGTGCACTGTGGAGGAGGCCAGTACTGCAGGCGTTGGCAGACCTGCTGTCGGAGCCGTTGTGGCATGTGGGGCTGCTGCAACGGGAGGAGGGTAAGTAACCAACACCCAACCGTGTCCCAGCACTTCAACACAACTACACTCAGCGTGGATTTTCAGTTGACGAATAGCATTATGGTTGGAAGCTTACACCCTCCTCCAGACAACTTTATCACGCTCAACATTTTCTCTGTCATTTACGAACAAATGAATGGTGAGCCACATTTTTAGTTGCTGGAAATTATTCAGCACATTTAATTTTTCTCACCTGGGTTGGAAAGTACAATACAATTACACAAATACTATTTATACGTGCTTCGTGCATAATATTATTAAGTCCGCCATTGATCTTTGCAGAGAAAATGTGTGTGTGTAAACAGCACTGTGGAGACAAAGGCAGCCTAACATGGCACTGGCCATGCAAACCGCCTCTGTGCCTTGCCAGCGTTAATAGATGCTAGCTAACACCTATGAAAGACTGTTTTGGGAAAACTCACCATTGATCTTTGTCGGGTAACAATGGTGTATGGACAACTATATCGTAAAATGAACGCCTGTTAGAGTATGTGAACACGATTATGTTTGAGACACATGCAGTAAGGTGTCATGCAGCTCACTCTCCCACACCACCCTGCCTTGTGCCATACCATCCTTTGAAGATGTTCACAAACAGAAATTCCTCACTCTGAGGTGGTGTGTTTATGTGTGCACGTGGTTGCAGGATGACGAGTAATTTTGTGTGCCCTGACAGGCAACGTGCTGCTCTGATGGGATTCACTGCTGTCCTTCGATGACCCGGTGCCTCGTTCCATATCGTCTGTGTAGCAGGTCCAGCGAGGCCTTGTCTGGTGTGGCAGGTAGGATTTCCATCTTTTGAAACTTTATTTGGTCTTATTTCCACGATTTTATCCCGATTGTGCGGTAGGCATCATGTCGTGACATGAAGAATCCATCCATTCACATATTTCACAGAGCAGTTCAAACGTACAAGGTAGATAATGGCCCACTGAAGTGGATATCACAGAGCTACTTGAGATCGCTTCAAGTAACGTGGTCTGCAAAGTAGAGGGAGCAGCACTTTGTCACATGCTCTCCCATATGATAGTCGTGTCTGTCTCATGAAAGATAAACGTATTTCTTGTATTCAAAGAGAAAGAATGTATCTAAATTAAGTGGAGAACTTGATTTAATGTGATGTTTGTCTTGTGCAGTCATTGGTTACTAGCCCGAGATGCTGAACTCAGCCTGAAAAGGAAATTTATTCACAGGCTGTCTGGAAATGAATCCAGGATCACAGTACTGGCAGCTCAGAACTCCATTCTTTTTAAATTCACTTATTATGTTCAAGTAAGATACTCTAAAATGTTTGTGAATATTTTGTAAAAGTAGAGTAATTGTCGTGAGAATATTACTGTGTTATTTTATTTTATCAATTTATTATTTTATTCTCATTCTACGTGACTTTACCGAAAGAACCAAAGAAGGAGAGTAATTGTTTTACCAACTATAATCTTACGTGAAAGAACAGAACCACCGGAATCAGAATGTAACAGTCTGACATGAACTTTGTGATCTTTTTTTTCACCTTGACCTTTTTCAAAATTCTCCTTTTTCCCAGTGCTCGACTACCTGAGCCGTGAGCAGCAGGACGGCTGTGCGGACAACAGCGAATGCCCTGACGGGAGCGAGTGTCAGGGCGCGAGTGGCGACTTTAAGGGGCAGTGCGTGAACTCAGCAGCCCTCATCCCCTGGTTGAAGAAGGAGGCGGCGCTCTCAGGGCCTGTTGGAGACAACCTCGTGCACTGTGGAGGAGGCCAGTACTGCAGGCGTTGGCAGACCTGCTGTCGGAGCCGTTGTGGCATGTGGGGCTGCTGCAACGGGAGGAAGGTAAGTAACCAACACCCAACCGTGTCCCAGCACTTCAACACAACTACACTCAGCGTGGATTTTCAGTTGACGAATAGCATTATGGTTGGAAGCTTACACCCTCCTCCAGACAACTTTATCACTCTCAACATTTTCTCTGTCATTTACGAACAAATGAATGGTGATCCACATTTTTAGTTGCTGGAAATTATTCAGCACATTTAATTTTTCTCATCTGGGTTGGAAAGTACAATACAATTACACAAATACTATTTCTACGTGCTTCGAGCATAATATTATTTACTCCGCCATTGATCTTTGGAGAGAAAATGTGTGTGTGTTAACAGCACTGTAGAGACAAAGGCAGCCTAACATGGCACTGGCCATGCAAACCGCCTCTGTGCCTTGCCAGCGTTAATAGACGCTAGCTAACACTTATGAAAGACTGTTTTGGGAAAACTACACCGTTGATCTTTGTAGGGTAACAATGGTGTATGGACAACTATATGGTAAAATGAACGCCTGTTAGAGTATGTGAACACGATTATGTTTGCGACACATGCAGTAAGGTGTCATGCTGCTCACTGTCCCACACCACCCTGCCTTGTGCCATACCATCCTTTGAAGATGTTCACAAACAGAAATTCCTCACTCTGAGGTGGTGTGTTTATGTGTGCACGTGGTTGCAGGATGACGAGTAATTTTGTGTGCCCTGACAGGCAACGTGCTGCTCTGATGGGATTCACTGCTGTCCTTCGATGACCCGGTGCCTCGTTCCATATCGTCTGTGTAGCAGGTCCAGCGAGGCCTTGTCTGGTGTGGCAGGTAGGATTTCCATCTTTTGAAACTTTATTTGGTCTTATTTCCACGATTTTATCCCGATTGTGCGGTAGGCATCATGTCGTGGCATGAAGAATCCATTCAGATATTTCACAGAGCAGTTCAAACGTACAAGGTAGATAATGGCCCACTGAAGTGGATATCACAGAGCTACTTGAGATCGCTTCAAGTAACATGGTCTGCAAAGTAGAGGGAGCAGCACTTTGTCACATGCTCTCCCATATGATAGTCGTGTTTGTCTCATGAAAGATAAACCTATTTCTTGTATTCAAAGAGCTAGAATGTATCTAAATTAAGTGGAGAACTTGATTTAATGTGATGTTTGTCTTGTGCAGTCATTGGTTACTAGCCCGAGATGCTGAACTCAGCCTGAAAAGGAAATTTATTCACAGGCTGTCTGGAAATGAATCCAGGATCACAGTACTGGCAGCTCAGAACTCCATTCTTTTTAAATTCACTTATTATGTTCAAGTAAGATACTCTAAAATGTTTGTGAATATTTTGTGAAAGTAGAGTAATTGTTTTACCAACTATAATCTTATGTGAAAAAACAGAACCACCGGAATCAGAATGTAAAAGTCTGACATGAACTTTGTGATCTTTTTTTTCACCTTGACCTTTTTCAAAATTCTCCTTTTTCCCAGTGCTCGACTACCTGAGCCGTGAGCAGCAGGACGGCTGTGCGGACAACAGCGAATGCCCTGACGGGAGCGAGTGTCAGGGCGCGAGTGGCGACCTTAAGGGGCAGTGCGTGAACTCAGCCGCGCTCATCCCCTGGTTGAAGAAGGAGGCGGCGCTCTCAGGGCCTGTTGGAGACAACGTCGTGCACTGTGGAGGAGGCCAGTACTGCAGGCGTTGGCAGACCTGCTGTCGGAGCCGTCGTGGCATGTGGGGCTGCTGCAACGGGAGGAGGGTAAGTAACCAACACCCAACCGTGCCCAGCACTTCAACACAACTACACTCAGCGTGGATTTTCAGTTGACGAATAGCATTATGGTTGGAAGCTTACACCCTCCTCCAGACAACTTTATCACTCTCAACATTTTCTCTGTCATTTACGAACAAATGAATGGTGATCCACATTTTTAGTTGCTGGAAATTATTCAGCACATTTAATTTTTCTCATCTGGGTTGGAAAGTACAATACAATTACACAAATACTATTTCTACGTGCTTCGAGCATAATATTATTTACTCCGCCATTGATCTTTGGAGAGAAAATGTGTGTGTGTGTAAACAGCACTGTGGAGACAAAGGCAGCCTAACATGGCACTGGCCATGCAAACCGCCTCTGTGCCTTGCCAGCGTTAATAGACGCTAGCTAACACTTATGAAAGACTGTTTTGGGAAAACTACACCGTTGATCTTTGTAGGGTAACAATGGTGTATGGACAACTATATCGTAAAATGAACGCCTGTTAGAGTATGTGAACACGATTATGTTTGCGACACATGCAGTAAGGTGTCATGCTGCTCACTGTCCCACACCACCCTGCCTTGTGCCATACCATCCTTTGAAGATGTTCACAAACAGAAATTCCTCACTCTGAGGTGGTGTGTTTATGTGTGCACGTGGTTGCAGGATGACGAGTAATTTTGTGTGCCCTGACAGGCAACGTGCTGCTCTGATGGGATTCACTGCTGTCCTTCGATGACCCGGTGCCTCGTTCCATATCGTCTGTGCAGCAGGTCCAGCGAGGCCTTGTCTGGTGTGGCAGGTAGGATTTCCATCTTTTGAAACTTTATTTGGTCTTATTTCCACGATTTTATCCCGATTGTGCGGTAGGCATCATGTCGTGACATGAAGAATCCATCCATTTAGATATTTCACAGAGCAGTTCAAACGTACAAGGTAGATAATGGCCCACTGAAGTGGATATCACAGAGCTACTTGAGATCGCTTCAAGTAACGTGGTCTGCAAAGTAGAGGGAGCAGCACTTTGTCACATGCTCTCCCATATGATAGTCGTGTCTGTCTCATGAAAGATAAACCTATTTCTTGTATTCAAAGAGAAAGAATGTATCTAAATTAAGTGGAGAACTTGATTTAATGTGATGTTTGTCTTGTGCAGTCATTTGGTTACTAGCCCGAGATTCTGAACTCAGCCTGAAAAGGAAATTTATTCACAGGCTGTCTGGAAATGAATCTAGGATCACAGTACTGGCAGCTCAGAACTCCATTCTTTTTAAATTCACTTATTATGTTCAAGTAAGATACTCTAAAATGTTTGTGAATATTTTATGAAAGTAGAGTAATTGTTTTACCAACTATAATCTTACGTGAAAGAACAGAACCACCGGAATCAGAGTGTAACAGTCTGACATGAACTTTGTGATCTTTTTTTTCACCTTGACCTTTTTCAAAATTCTCCTTTTTCCCAGTGCTCGACTACCTGAGCCGTGAGCAGCAGGACGGCTGTGCGGAGAACAGCGAATGCCCTGACGGGAGCGAGTGTCAGGGCGCGAGTGGCGACCTTAAGGGGCAGTGCGTGAACTCAGCCGCCCTCATCCCCTGGTTGAAGAAGGAGGCGGCGCTCTCAGGGCCTGTTGGAGACAACCTCGTGCACTGTGGAGGAGGCCAGTACTGCAGGCGTTGGCAGACCTGCTGTCGGAGCCGTTGTGGCATGTGGGGCTGCTGCAACGGGAGGAGGGTAAGTAACCAACACCCAACCGTGTCCCAGCACTTCAACACAACTACACTCAGCGTGCATTTTCAGTTGACGAATAGCATTATGGTTGGAAGCTTACACCCTCCTCCAGACAACTTTATCACTCTCAATATTTTCTCTGTCATTTACGAACAAATGAATGGTGATCCACATTTTTAGTTGCTGGAAATTATTCAGCACATTTAATTTTTCTCATCTGGGTTGGAAAGTACAATACAATTACACAAATACTATTTATACGTGCTTCGTGCATAATATTATTAACTCCGCCATTGATATTTGCAGAGAAAATGTGTGTGTAAACAGCACTGTGGAGACAAAGGCAGCCTAACATGGCACTGGCCATGCAAACCGCCTCTGTGCCTTGCCAGCGTTAATAGATGCTAGCTAACACTTATGAAAGACTGTTTTGGGAAAACTCACCATTGATCTTTGTCGGGTAACAATGGTGTATGGACAACTATATCGTAAAATGAACGCCTGTTAGAGTATGTGAACACGATTATGTTTGAGACACATGCAGTAAGGTGTCATGCAGCTCACTCTCCCACACCACCCTGCCTTGTGCCATACCATCCTTTGAAGATGTTCACAAACAGAAATTCCTCACTCTGAGGTGGTGTGTTTATGTGTGCACGTGGTTGCAGGATGACGAGTAATTTTGTGTGCCCTGACAGGCAACGTGCTGCTCTGATGGGATTCACTGCTGTCCTTCGATGACCCGGTGCCTCGTTCCATATCGTCTGTGTAGCAGGTCCAGCGAGGCCTTGTCTGGTGTGGCAGGTAGGATTTCCATCTTTTGAAACTTTATTTGGTCTTATTTCCACGATTTTATCCCGATTGTGCGGTAGGCATCATGTCGTGACATGAAGAATCCATCCATTTAGATATTTCACAGAGCAGTTCAAACGTACAAGGTAGATAATGGCCCACTGAAGTGGATATCACAGAGCTACTTGAGATCGCTTCAAGTAACGTGGTCTGCAAAGTAGAGGGAGCAGCACTTTGTCACATGCTCTCCCATATGATAGTCGTGTCTGTCTCATGAAAGATAAACCTATTTCTTGTATTCAAAGAGCTAGAATGTATCTAAATTAAGTGGAGAACTTGATTTAATGTGATGTTTGTCTTGTGCAGTCATTGGTTACTAGCCCGAGATGCTGAACTCAGCCTGAAAAGGAAATTTATTCACAGGCTGTCTGGAAATGAATCTAGGATCACAGTACTGGCAGCTCAGAACTCCATTCTTTTTAAATTCACTTATTATGTTCAAGTAAGATACTCTAAAATGTTTGTGAATATTTTGTGAAAGTAGAGTAATTGTTTTACCAACTATAATCTTACGTGAAAAAACAGAACCACCGGAATCAGAATGTAAAAGTCTGACATGAACTTTGTGATCTTTTTTTTCACCTTGACCTTTTTCAAAATTCTCCTTTTTCCCAGTGCTCGACTACCTGAGCCGTGAGCAGCAGGACGGCTGTGCGGACAACAGCGAATGCCCTGACGGGAGCGAGTGTCAGGGCGCGAGTGGCGACCTTAAGGGGCAGTGCGTGAACTCAGCCGCCCTCATCCCCTGGTTGAAGAAGGAGGCGGCGCTCTCAGGGCCTGTTGGAGACAACGTCGTGCACTGTGGAGGAGGCCAGTACTGCAGGCGTTGGCAGACCTGCTGTCGGAGCCGTTGTGGCATGTGGGGCTGCTGCAACGGGAGGAGGGTAAGTAACCAACACCCAACCGTGCCCAGCACTTCAACACAACTACACTCAGCGTGGATTTTCAGTTGACGAATAGCATTATGGTTGGAAGCTTACACCCTCCTCCAGACAACTTTATCACTCTCAACATTTTCTCTGTCATTTACGAACAAATGAATGGTGATCCACATTTTTAGTTGCTGGAAATTATTCAGCACATTTAATTTTTCTCATCTGGGTTGGAAAGTACAATACAATTACACAAATACTATTTCTACGTGCTTCGTGCATAATATTATTAACTCCGCCATTGATATTTGCAGAGAATATGTGTGTGTGTAAACAGCACTGTGGAGACAAAGGAGCCTAACATGGCACTGGCCATGCAAACCGCCTCTGTGCCTTGCCAGCGTTAATAGATGCTAGCTAACACTTATGAAAGACTGTTTTGGGAAAACTATACCATTGATCTGTCGGGTAACAATGGTGTATGGACAACTATATCGTAAAATGAACGCCTGTTAGAGTATGTGAACACGATTATGTTTGCGACACATGCAGTAAGGTGTCATGCTGCTCACTGTCCCACACCACCCTGCCTTGTGCCATACCATCCTTTGAAGATGTTCACAAACAGAAATTCCTCACTCTGAGGTGGTGTGTTTATGTGTGCACGTGGTTGCAGGATGACGAGTAATTTTGTGTGCCCTGACAGGCAACGTGCTGCTCTGATGGGATTCACTGCTGTCCTTCGATGACCCGGTGCCTCGTTCCATATCGTCTGTGCAGCAGGTCCAGCGAGGCCTTGTCTGGTCTGCAGGTTCTATGAAGGATGCATGGCACATGCCACCTACTGCACAATGCACATAACATGCATTCTACATATTAAGTATGGCAAATAATTATATTGCATTCATATTGCGCCTTAAATGCCTCAGCAACTCAAAGCACCTAATTTCACATCTGATTTCAAACGTGGCAGCGGTCGCTTTGTGGCACCAGTTAAGGAGTGGGTATTAGAATCAGAATCTTTATTCATTTTTGAGAAATACGGTGAGTTATGAAGCTCCTCATCACATGTCCAGTCTGAGCGGGTCAGAAAGTTACAACAAGAAGCAATGCAAAACAAGCAATGCAAAGTGTAAGAAAGGTAAGAAAAACACAAAAAATAAATAAATGATAGCTCAACCAACAGGCTTAACACGTGGAAATTTATAGCAGCCAAATAACGCAAGTCTGCTTGTAGGTGGAAATGATTGCCTCAATGAAGTACATAATTGAGTGCATAATATGCTGGTAAACTTGCGAAAATGGGAAATATTGACCATAAATCGATACAATGGTCTATTCATTTCCATTGACGTCAGGGGATCTTCTACACCCCCCACGAAGCAGACGGAATGTATTTATGTTTAATGCACACGCGGTATTAACAAGCCTCGTTTGCCAGATTAAAATTGCAAACCTCTGCAACTAGTGGCGAACGCGCTACTGCTGGGGCTGTATCGCCGCGCAATAAATTTTGCCATGCTGCAACAAGGCAAAGCGGCACAGTGATCTATTAAATGCTGTGCTGTCTTTTTTTAACAAACACATAAATGGCATCAATGATGTTCACAGGCTTCAAGTATAGTTGAGCACCCTCTGCATGCAGTTCAGTTCATTGTTGAGCACCTCGTTTTAAGTAACATCTCACCGAACGTCTTCAGTTCGCAGAAGAGCATTGTCAAATATCTAATTTGCTGTTTTCTACCACGAGATTTTCTGATACATTGTAATCTCGTGAATGCAGAGCGACATAAACCCCAAACACCTCACAATCCTCTCATCCCATGACATTCACAGCAATGCAAACACAGTCACAGAAGCGCATAATACTAGCTTATGACACCTTCTAACATATGGGTGAAGCTTTTTACGTGATCTCTATTTTAAAGACGAATCGGCATGTAATTGTGTTCGTGTGATTATTTTGCTTGCGATATTCATGATTTAATAAAGTTGATTTTTGAAACACATTTCTTTGAAAACAGTGAATGTCACGATAGACAACTGTGCTTCTCAACAGATTTATAAATTGTTGCTTCAATAAAATTGTATTCACAACGTTCTTTATCCTCTGGTACTTTTATATGTTTTGCGAAACAATCTTAATATGAGAGTATTATCATGTTGCTTTTTCAAAGGTGAACGATTATAATAAAAACGTAAGGAATCATCCTTTCATTAAATCAAGATAGTGGTATATTCATGAGCACTATGTAAATAACATATTTGCTGCGAATCGCAACACTATACGTGAATATCTCTGGGATCTCTTTCAAGAAATCTTGGCATAAATACAATTTATATTCTTTTGCATCTATCGGTAAAGCCACGTAGATAGAAAAAATAATAAATTTACATCTTGGATTTAGAGCAAACTTACCAAATCCACATGAGATCTGCCAAAATGGCTCCAACTAATCAAGGACTGTTCCCACCTCCGATTATCACAGTTGCCTACGTACAGTACGAAAGAAATCCAACATGCATACATATGTAATGGGTTCCGGAGACACTTCGTATAGGCAACTTCTTTATTACAATACAGCACTCCAACAGTCGTCATACACTGTTACAGCCTCGGGACACAGCCTACTCCACGCGTGCCGTGACACTGGCTTCGCTCTCGGCTCCTCCGCTAGGATCACCCTAGGGGAGGCTACCCTGACCCCACTCAGCCAAGGTGCGGGTCTAGACTCTGGGACTCCCACCACTGGCCCAGAGCCCCACCACTGGCCCAGAGTCCCACCACTGGCCCAGTCTCACCACTGGCCCAGAGTCCCACCACTGGCCCAGAGTCACACCACTGGCCCAGAGTCCCACCACCGGCCCAGAGTCCCACCATTGTCCCAGAGTCCCACCACTGGCCCAGAGTCCCACTACTGGCCCAGAGTCCCACCACTGGCCTAGAGTCCCACCACTGGCCCAGAGTCCCACCACTGGCCCAGAGTCCCACCACTGGCCCAGAGTCCCACCACTGGCCCAGAGTCTCACCACTGGCCCAGAGTCCCACCACTGGCCCAGAGTCCCACCACTGGCCCAGAGTCCCACCACTGGCCCAGAGTCCCACCACTGGCCCAGAGTCCCACCACTGGCCTGCACAGCGTCCCAGCCCTGACAAGGACAGTGGGGCCAGGGGGTCCAGGGTCCTACCTAGCTGCTGGTCTTCGGCTTCGGTCTTCAACTGGTCCCAGATCGGCTGGGGAGGTCCCCTTTTATGCCCCTTGCCCATTGAGGGGTGGGGCTGTGAGGGATCCCAGAACCCCCGCAGCCCCCCCGTTAGGGGCACCAAGGGGCTTAGCTGTCTGGGGATCCTGAGCCCCCAGCAGCCCCCAGCAGCCCCTCCCCTGATGGTACGAGGTCCCGTTCCATCTATGGCGCTACACATACATACGGCTGGCATTAGTTTCACTACATCAGTGCGTTCTGCTGCTAAGAGTCTTATCAACGGTGGGGCAGCATTTAATGAATAATACCCCAAGCACCTCAGTGTCACATGATACATATATTTCATATCCTCTACATCCCCTTTGCTTCCTTTTGCTCTTTAAAATAGGAAAATTAAGGTCAAATTAAATTGTTGTTGTTGTTGTTACTTTTCGTACGTTCGTCTGTCCTCTTTAAAGTATTTAGCCTCCATATCGTTTTGGTTGGTCTCTGCCCTTGTATCTTCTATGCGTGTTGTCTGTGCTTTATTTCAAACGAGCTTTACTACCCGGCTTCGCCCTGGACTTGGATTCACCACGGCCGTCCGCCTTTGTCTCCCCAGTGGCGATGTTCACACACCACACCACTTACTCGTTTGAGGCTGAGTCGACCTAGGGGAGGCCCAGGAGCAGTTCAAATAATCGTCACTGGTGGTGTTGGCCGTGAGCGGGAATCAAACTCGGGTCGCCGGGTTCATAGCGCAGCACGCTAACCACTACACTACCGCTCCCCACACACACAGTGACACACACAGTGACACAGCGCGCTAACCACTACACTACTGCTCCCCACACACACAGTGACACACACACAGACACACACACAGACAGACACAGCGCGCTAACCACTACACTACCGCTCCCCACACACACAGTGACACACACAGACAGACACAGCGCGCTAACCACTACACTACCGCTCCCCACACACACAGTGACACACACACAGACACACACACAGACAGACACAGCGCGCTAACCACTACACTACCGCTCCCTCCACACACAAACGCACGCGCGTGCGTCCATAGGTACACATACACGCGCTTGCTGCAGACACACACACAACTTTCAGGGTGCGTACGGCAGTAAACGACTCAAACAATAAACCAATGCTGCGTGAAGAACGCCTTAGACCTGCAACACATTTGTATGGCACTTTACCCGCGGAGGGTTGGGGGGGGGACATCAGCAGGCACACTCCGTTACGCTCGCGCATGCACGGGAGGACAAGACAGAGATGTGATGTCACATCATTATTACGCCCCTAAAAATATACAAAAGTTTATTTTTATATTTTTTGCATATTGTACAGTCTGGAAAGTACCCACATTCCAAATTTCAAGTTTGTTGCATGTCAGGAAGTACGTTAAACATTTTGAACAGACACATTCACAAATTTCCCTTTTATATACGTAGTGTTCAATTTCACTCGGACAACTTCTGTCTTTCTCCGAACACCGCTTTATTTACAACTCTCAGCATGTCCACATTCCACGGTATCCTGGTCGCCACGGCTCGCTCGCCGTGCTTCACTCGACTCGCTCGCCACCTTTGTCTTTCCACTCCCCACGATTACTTCGCTTACTCCGCACTCAGCGACTCCGCACTCAATGACTCCGCACACAGCGTCTTCACACACAGCGACTTCGCGCACAGCGTCTTTGCACTCAGCAACTCCACCCTTCAACTCTTAACTCCAACTCTGTCTTCCAAACACTGTCTCTCAAACTCTGTCTTCCAAACTCTGTCTCTCAAACTCTGTCTTCCAAACTCTCCACACTTCAACTCCCCCCATGTTGACTCCAAGCTCTCCAAAGTCCATATCCCCCAAGCTCTCCAACTTCAATCCATCTCCAAGCTCTCCGCTCTTCAACCTCTCTCCAAGCTCTCCACCATTCAACCCCCTCTGTTGACTCCGACTCCCACTCTTATACCCGCTCTCATTACACCCCCAATTAATTAACCCGCGTCCCAACGGCACTCCGCGTGACCGTCACCTGTTTCTCCTCCAGACCTTTAGACGCCTCTCCAGCCCCGGCAACAGCACCAACCAATCACAGCCGTCCACGGCTCTCCCAGCTTAATTGCCCCAACATAACCTGCACTGTATTCGCCTTCGCTACAGGCTGACCCAAGATAACCCGTACTGTCTGTGTGATCATGTAATCACGCTGTTTCCACAATGCACCTTCCTACTCCATTCTGTCTGCTGTCATCCATTATGTCTGCTGTCATCTTTCACAATGGCTAAGCCCACCGTTATCTTTTTCAAGAGCACGGTATGCTTCACCATTTTGAATCAGAATGTATACCTGCGTCCTTGGTTCTTCCATCTGATTTTCAGGATATGATCATAGCTGAGCTTAAGTTACATCTTTTTGTTGTATATTGAACTTCTTTTGCAACTTATGTGGCCGTCCGTGCTAATAGATATGAATGGCTGGCAGATCAAAAACACGCTCTGTAAATACAGATTTACTATTATAATGAGCCAAGAATGTCTGTGTGTCCCGCATGTGACGTCACTGCACGTTGACCAGCCCCCCTCAATAATCATGAACAGGTTGCGTCCTCCACATGGACCCCCCCCCCTCATTAATAATCATGAGCAGGTGACGTCACTCCGCATGGAGAACCCCCCTCATTAATAATCATGAACGGGTGATGTCACTCCACAGCGTCTACTTAGAACCCTCACTACAAAGGCAGAACCCTCACGTCACGCGATCTCCGTAATGGTATTGAGACATCAAAGTAAAAAGGACGTCATGAAGAACAAGGGGTTATAACCTTCAAATGAAATATGTGTCACCGCGGCCTTACAAATTGCACACAAATGGATGCAATGAATATCACGTCGCGGTCTGCTTTTCGCTTGCAATTTTCAGATTTACTTGCAAACACCCATCCTTGGACGGGCAAAAGGCTAGTGACGTATACTGTGTGAATTGGCCTCATTCAATTCACACCATTATCCATAATCCAGTATTTTTTTGGGTTATATCGTGTAAATATATAAATATGCCATTAAACCCACCACCACCCGAGACAGCCAATTCGTAAGGTTTGTCACGTAAACAGAACATGCCAATTCGTTACTAGTGTAATGACAGGGTGACACCTGCTGGCCGGAAAGGGAATCATGGATACGAGCATGGTTACCAACCAATCAGAGAAGGAGGTGTATCTGGAGCAAAGGTAACAGAAGGGGTTAGCCGAGATACTCCGAGAACCTGCTCGAAGGTTCCACGAGAGGGTGTGGCCGGAGGTGGGGCCTAGCCACGCCTGGGGGGATATAAGGGGGAGCGGACCCGGGGCTCGGGGCTCGTATGTGGAGTCCTGGGTCCTGGCTGCGTCGCTGCTCGCCGACATCTCTCTCCGTCGTCCGGCCACGTGGAAGATCTCCTGCGTGGTTTCCATCGCCGTCATCGTCACGCCGCCAGCCAGCGGCGTAGCCGAGTGAGGGCGGTGGGACCACGCTGAGTGATCGGCTGTGTTTAGCCAGTAGAGACGTTAATGGCCAGAGTTATACTCAGTGTGAGGAAGAACAAGTGTTGGCCTGTGTTGTGCCCAATGTGAGTAATGAAGAAGAATTACCCTCTACATGACGTGTCGCGGAAGTCGCTCAATACATTGGAGTCAGTAGTGGTTGAAAACATAATTTGGTGCTAGCCAGCAAAGAAGGAAGTATGTCTAAGCATCAGAAAAAACGGAACTCAACTGTGGCATATTCCGACGACGATGAAAACGTGACCCAAGACCTCCTACCAGCCCTGGGAACCGCGGTCCCTGTTATTGAAGCCGCGGCGAGTGAATTAGCTGCGCCCACTGGCGGAGTCAGTGGGGGTGGTAAGGTGGCACATGTCCGCCCAATGATCCCATCAAAATCCTAATTTTGATCGGATCATTGGGGTTTATTAGTAATAAATCGACATTTTGCAACTCCCACTGCCACTGTGTAGCATATTATTACATGGAAGGGACTCTATGAGATGATAGGACAATATTCTGAGTCCATAATTGGCAATAAGTAATGGCAAAGCAGTTATAAGTGACTCACGGAATTGTGCGCAGTTGCGTATACAGTCCACGACTTCCCTGAAGGCATCAACACCTTCAGCGAGCGCGATGCCGATCACACAACGCAGTTCAAAATCGACCCTCGATCGATGGCTGCGCCATCTCCGCACACGCGTCGAATAAAAAGCAAGGGACAAGTCCTTACTTACTAACAACTCCTTACTTACTAACAACGCCTTACTTACTAACAACTCCTTACTTACTAACAACTCCTATCATTTCTCATTGCTGGAGGGGTTGCCCCCCCTACCTGAAAATCCTGGTTCCGCCATTGGCTGCGCCAGAGACGGTGGAACTGGGAGCAGCCACTCCGCACCAGCAGCCCGAAGACGGCTGGCGGATGGCGTCAGTACAGCTGGACCTGTTGCGGACGGTTGTCGTGCAGTTGGTGACGCTCGTGACAGAGACTACGATAGCGGGTCGCGCTGCACTGACATCGCCGGGAAGGAGCGACCAGGAGCCAGGAGTTGACGTTCTGGCGGAAACGTCCGCAAGCGTGACAGCCGCCATTACACATGGCGGGGAGGACGCGCTGCCGGAGGCCGCCATTACGGGTGGCACGGGGGAGGCACGGACGGAGTCCTCCCTTTTAGGAAACAAGCGTGATAGACAAGATGCGGCACCCGCCACTAGAAACGAGGAAAGGGGAACCGAACATACTCTGAGATTACCTCAGCTTAAATAATTCGTCGCGGCAGGAGGCGATTGGAGCGCGTTCACTTGGCGATTTGAAGCGGCTTTCCGATCAGTACATTGGACAGAAGATGAGGCGCTGATGGCTCTGCCGACTGTTTTGGACGACGATGCTCTTGCTGTTTTCAGGGCTATTCCCGCTGCTAAGAAGGCTTATGGTGAAATGCCAAACGTGTATGAGCCGCCTTCCGACTCGCGCAGGAAATTTTTCAGCGTAGGCGAGGGGAGGCCAAGACGCATCTCGCCTACCGCAGCGCGCTGTTGGCGCTAGCGGGAGCAGCTTACTCTGGGGTGGATCCGAAAGCCCTTGACTCGCTCATCATGGAAAGGATGTTGGGACTGGCACGAGAGATGGGAGTTGTCTTACCTGTGTGTGACGAAGACGGACAGACGTCCCGGTGGGCCGCCAGGTGTCTTCAGGCCCACGAGAATTTGCATTGATGGGCTCAAATGGCGGCGTGGACAGGGGACCCCAGCCGAGACGGGGAGCCAAAGGGGTGGTCGCCACGGAATGTCATGGTGCAGCCGGCTGAGGATGCAACTTCGGAAGAGGACATCGCTGCTGCGCCTCTGGTGTGGAGTCGGAGGAGAGGGGACGCTGCCCGGCGATAGAGGAGTTGGAGACCGCACGAGCAAGAAGATTGGATGCTGCGGAGGCCCTCGCTTACCTGCTTCCACTGCGGCCAGCCGGGGCACTTCGTGCGAGGATGTCAGAACCGTCCTTGGACAGCGACCACGACTCCGGCGCCCACAGCTCCACCGACGGCTACATCTCAACCCCAACAGCGTTCGAGCCCATGACAGTGGACGGACTTCAAAGCCTCACCTACTTCTCCAGGAGTTCCGGCGGTGTGTACACCCCCTGTGCAGGAGATAAAGACCGTCGACGGGCCAGCGTCGCGAACTCGGTCTAAATGCTTAAGATTCCGTTAATATGAATGTCCCTGTGTGTTGTATAAGGGAGGGGGGGATTGTGGTTGGTTGCTTGAGTTGTGATTTTTTTTCTCTCCCCTCCATCTTTTTCCCTCTCGCCATTTTCTCGTCATCCCTTGCTTTGTTAAGTGCTTTTTGATTGTTCCTGCAGATTGTTCTGCCTTACTTAAGAAGAAACCGAAGTCAATGCTTGGTTAACTCTTTTATTGCTGTTCCTTACCTGGAGTTTCGTTGGTATTAACCGGGACGGCTATTTCTTTTTAATGAGGGGGGGGGGGGGGGTTGATGTAATGACAGGGTGACATCTGCTGGCCGGAAAGGGAATCACGGGTACGGGCACAGTTAAGTACCAACCATTCAGAGAAGGAGGTGTATCTGGGGCAAAGGTAACAGGAGGGGTTAGTCGAGATACTCCAGGAATCTGCTCGAAGGTTCCACGAGAGGGCGTGGCTGGAGCCGAGGCCTAGCCACGCCTAGGGGGATATAAGGGGGAGCAGACCTGGGGCTCGGGGCTCGCGTGTGGGGTCTTGGGTCCTGGCTGTGTCGCTGCTCGCCGACATCTCTCTCCGTCGTCCGGCCATGTAGAAGATCTCCTGCGTGGTTTCCATCGCCGTCGCCGTCATCGTCACGCCGCCAGCCAGCGGCGTAGCCGAGTGAGGGCGATGGGACCACGCCGAGTGATCGGCTGTGTGTAGCCAGTAGAGACGTTAATATTGAGTGTTGTGCTCAGTGTGAGGAAGAATAAGTGTTGGCCTGTGTTGTGCCCAGTGTGAGTAATAAAGAAGAGGTACCCTCTACACGACGTGTCGCGGAAGTCGGTCATTACACATGTACAGCACACCATTGTGTTGGAGAGCCAAGCCACAACACTTACAATCTGAGTAAGACGTTTCGCCAGTAATTACAACTAGCTTCATCAGGCGACAAACAGATTTGTGGAGAAATCCATCCTGCGCGTTAAACTGACATTATTATGCTTGTTCATGGCATATATGTGCCAAAACAGCATTTCACCAGTTTACATTGCTCTTCTCTAGTCACAATACATGTTTAGTGATTGTCCCACACGATCCCTAGGACAGAGTAATCAAGAAGGACGGAGCAAACACTCCATGCTCTGATTTGGTTAAGGGCACGGGGAGCAAGAGGATTGGCCGGGACGTTCATAAAGGGAAAAGAGCTGGAGGGTTGGGTGAGCGTCAGGTGGGGCGGTTAGGCCAGATGAAGGTAAGAAGAGAGAGAGGCGACAATTGATGGAGACGGACTGGGACGAGGTGTGGAGCCAGGTAGAGGTTAAAAGAGGGAGCGGGATGCAGAGCTGGGGCGTTTCGAGAGAGAGCGAGAATGATGGGGTGGACTTGTGCCGTGAAATAAAGACCTTATACCCTGTGGACAAATAAAAAAGGCCAGTCTTCTTTCGCATGCATGCGCTCATGATTTAATTTACAGCCCTTCATCAATCTACTGCTGGATGAAGGCCTCCCCATACTTCAATCATTGGGGTTGAATACACCATACAGTATTTCACCAACCTAATCAGTATGGCTCAGTGCATAAAAACAGTTTGAACAGACTACAATGCCATAATGGTAACAGGTTTATTGCAGCCATTTTGTTTACAATAGCAGAAAGAAATGACAACGTCCATTAAAGTACAGGTGTACAGTCAGTGTAGAGAATGGCATCGATTACAACACTGTCCCTTTTGAAGAACAGTATTAAATCAGTGGATGTTGGCATCAGCCTGTTATTTTAAGCGTATTACGAGTGCATTTACACATCCCGATATTTAAAACACCGTGCGAGCTTCAGCTGTTTGAATTATTAGCGCTGGTCAGTGTATCATGATTATACTTCGTGGGTGAAATTGTAGCGACACCTGCTTCTTATTAAACTTTCAGGGGTTATAATTTAATGAAGATTAAATAATACAAAACGCTAATACAATACCCCTAATTTGAATAATGTGCCGTTAATATGTGAGAATATTGTGCTGCCCTGTGATGTGTGGACCAGATGTCACATTAGGAGATTTCAGAGGTAGTGTTGCGACATCTGCTTCCGTGAGCTCTTCTCAAACACCTAAGGGTTGCTACTGTTGTTACTGCTCTGGGAAATATCCGAATGGTTTATCTGTCTCATTCCATCATGCTGATAGCGAAAAATATATATTTAAGGTGTTTAAATAGCGAATGGCTGCAATAAAGAAGCTAGTAAAAAGCATACCGAATGCATAACATCTAAGTTAAGCACATCGAAGGGGTGACGCAACGCACGGCGTGTTTTTTTTTGCTTCGTGCACCGAGCACTCTAAGGCTCACTGGGGGGGGGGGGGGCACGCATCTCAGACACCCTCCACAGCGGGCAGTGCCAGTGTGGACCGAGCGCAGAGACCCGACGCCGTGAGACAGAAGTGCCCAGCCGGACAGCAGTGAATCCCGTCAGAGCAGCAAATCGCCTGCAGGCACACAGGATGGCAGGGCTCGTTAGAGCGTTCAACGACAAATGCAACCTGAGTGGCATTCAACTCGCGTGGGGGGGAATGCCCTTCGTGCGTGTCGACGATGCACGCAAGGGGGAGTGGTTTGTCGAGCACAATACGCCAGCAGATGCCTTGATCCACACGGCGCTGATGTTCACGCGATTAATCTCTTTTAGGCTAATTTGAACTCGTCTCACTGGCAGCACAGGTCAAGGTTTTAGCCACACATTGCCAGCGATGTTGCGTGGCTCGGAAATCATCGGCGGAGTTTCAGTTGTATATTTGGTGGGGGGGGGGGGGGCAGGGGTTTGTTTAGTCCCCCACATTAGGAATCGCGAGTGCATATAAGTAATTAATTTATGTATAATCTCAATTGTAAACTAAAAAAATCATAAATCTGTCCAATTTGGGGAGGGGGGTGGGGCGTTTCCCCCCGTGACCCCCATTCCCCCAAACTCTGCCCATGCTTGGAGTCAAACCCAGGTCCCTGGGACTGCAATGCACAGGGGATGTGCGCGTTTACATTCTGCTCTCCCCACCCCACCCCCCTACGTAAATGAGCGGGGGTACGACCATTCCGACCTTGGTGCCACTTTAACATTAACCTTCAAATCTGTGGCAATGGGTCGGTAGACCGAGCGCCGGCCGAGGCTGCTGCTGCTGCTGCTGTGGGAGGCTCTCACGTGCGGGATGTTGCAGCAGCCCCAGCTGCCGGTGGCGAGGCGACAGCAGGTCTGGCCGTCCCGGCAGTACTGCCCGCTCCCGCAGTACACAACGTGAGCTCCCACAGGGCCTGAGAGCGCCGCCTCCTTCTCCACCCAGGGGGTGAGCGCGGCCGAGCTCACGCACTGCCCCCTGTGGTCGCCACTCGCCCCGTGGCAGTCGCTCCCCGCGGGGCAGCCGCTGCTGTCCACGCAGCCGTCCTGCTGCTGCTGCTGCTCACGGCTCAGGAAGGTGGCCACTTGCGGGGTGGGGGAGGGGGCGAAACCAGCAGAAATGTGAATGTTGTATCTAGTGGTGGTTGGTGGTGGTGGGGAATGCATTATTATTATTTACTGGACTGTCATAATTTCCCTTTCAGAGCTTTGCCATTTTATTGGTGGATGATGATCGATCACCCGCCACCGTTTCAATCACGGGGGGGGGGGGGGGGGTTGCTTTACCACACTTCACCGCACTACTAAGTGCGGTATCGTAAAGGGTGGGTTTGCCAGGACCAGTTCAGATCGTTAATTTTTCAATGGTGTTAGCCATGGCTGAGAATCAAACTCAGGTTCCCGGATTCATGGACACATTGCGACAACCACTGCTCCACCAGTCTCCCATTTCATACATTAATATATTCCTACGGTATACACTATATATTATGAAATGTATCTTCAGAAAAAGGTCCTAAGCAGTTCCATGAATATTTAACAGCAATGACGAACGTAAACAAATTAACGAGTGATAGGGAAATTCTTGGTTCTTTCGGTAAAGTCACGTTGAAGGGAAACAATAAAATAATAAAATATATAAAACAATAACATTCTCACGACGTTTCGACTGTAAAACAGTCATCATCAGTCATCATCAAAACTGGTGATGACTGTTTGTGTTACAGTCGAAACGTCGTGATAATTTTATTGTTTTATATATATTTTATTATTTTATTGTTTCCCTTCAACGTGACTTTACCGAAAGAACCAAGAATATGAATCACTGCAGTCACGAAAGCTTTAAATCAAAATTTGAGTGATAGTGATGTGAATCAATGTGCTGGATATGTGTGCAGGAATGGGTATGCAGTGCAGGCCAAGTTCATTAGCAAATTACCAGGGTCCTGAAATTCCGCATCGGGGAGGCAAAGGTTGAGCCCTCGGAAGGTGGTGCAGGTGGATCCTTTTCCACAGCACGACAGGCCGTCACCACAACACGAGCCCTGAGCAAAAATCACAGCACATCTCAACACAAAAACGGTGACGTAGCCGTTCGCTGCTTGTTGCAGATGTTTATGGTTCAAATGCAAACGGCCGCCCTCATCAATACTGCCAGGTATATTGAAAATAAATAAAAAATGTGCCGTCTGCTTTAACAGTGAACCTTAAAGATCCCGCAACAATCATCACCCGCTACTGCGCAAAAACCTGGCAGGTCCTTCGTGACATTGAACTACGAAACCCAGTGAGGTTTTCCTGGGTACATAAATAGAATGATAAAAAGACACTGACAGCTAATAAGGCGTCGTAAAAGTTCATTTATATGAACGGTGCGGACATATCACGTAACGAACATGAATGAAGAGAACCGTGTTTAAGAATAGTTGTTTTTACTATCCAAAACTTTTGGACACCCATTCTATGTAACCGGGCATTTTTTTAGATTGTTCATGAATTTAATATTGTAAATAGATCATTCGTAGTTATCGACGTATGTTTCAATTTAGATACTTTTAATAGGTTAGGAAATGTTATTTCTGAGTTAGTATTTTTCATAGGTGAAAAAAACTTTATCCCTCTGATAAGTTTAATTTGGTTTACCACTGATAAATATATTTTAGTTTTTTATTGCATTGCAGCTGCTGGTGAAGGAACACAAGAATGTTCTCAACTAAGCATGCTGTAAAATACATTTCGCTGCGCTCATTAACGACCCGTTGACCTCCAGACACAATTGTTCAGACCTGTGGCTGGCGGGATGGCTCGCAGCTCCCTCCCAAGCTGGGCAACGCACCTCAGACAAGGGGCAGCAGCGAGATTCTCCATTGGCCGAGCAGACGGAGCCTGCGCAGGAGGTGACCTGTGAGACTGTGGCAGAGATGGCCTGAGCTGGAACTGTGGCCAATGCCCCCTGTGTCTCGCCCTGGCCTTCACCCTTCTCAGCCGACGGAAACCGCACGCAGCAAGCCAGGCAGATCATACATTTCTTAATTCGCTACGAACAGGGAACTACTACAGATAACATATTTCAGCAATATAAGCATACAAACTTTCCAATGTAACAGTTAATAATAATACGCATTGGTGGCAGGTGTTCATTTTATATATATTTTAAAATTTCTATCCTGTCATGTCTCTCTCGCAAAGGAGCCAATGAGCTCAAACAAACCGATTAAATAGTATAAATAGTATAAATGAAAGACATGCAATGAAACCAGCTTACTTCTCCTACCCAGCAGCAAGTGTATCGGGATAAGTTCCAGCAACAACGCGATACGCAGAATCGACCATCAGGGCAACGGTCGGCAGACACGAGGGCACATAGCCCGGACGCCACCAGCACGAACATCAGCGGACGTGGAAGAGCCATCGCGATCGCCTCCTCGCTGAGCCCAAGTGAGAACACAGCGCTGATCGACAGACAGGCTGCTGCTGCTGCTGTCCCTTATAAAGCGTCACGCTGGCATGAGCCCACCAGCTTATCGGCGACCTTCACCAGGTCATGTGAACATCCTCAAATGCTGTTTGTTTCACGAATTGTATATAAAAGTTGTTTTTTGAGTCACTTTAAATATTTATCATGCTGCAGCCACTTGTTCTTTATGGAAATTGTTCATCTAACCACAGCTTCCTTCAGAAGGCAGCACTGTGTTGTGTAATTATGATAATAATTGCGGAACAGTGATATTAATTGAGGAAGCAGACAAATACTGCAACTCACCAGATGGAGTCACGACATTTTGAGAAGAGGACATCCCAACTCCCTTTAACGACAATTTTCGAAAGCAAATTAATCCTTTAAGCGGCTACAAGCATCTATGTAAAATACACTTTATACTTGATGTTCTAACTAATTTTACTATTTAGCAACTTTATGGTGTGTATTTCAACGCTTCTAAAGCTGTTTTGTTTTGAATTACCGATATTGGTCATTATCAGCTACGCAACCACAAAGTTTCTAATTTTTTATATTTTTGCATCAACGGTGGCAGAATTACTTAAGCTGTGGTTGGGTATTGGCATAGTGTAATAAACCAAAGGTTGGCCATGTCATTGATGGAGCTGTAAATACTCCTAGCATTTGAAAAATATTACAAGAAAAGCTAACGTAAAAAAATAAAATCTGATCCCTGTGTAGGATGTCCGTGTACCATTTGTTTATGAAAATTATTTCAATTGTTTGGCTGTTAAATTTTGATTTAAAGCTTTCGTGACTGCAGTAATTCATATTCTTAGTTTTTTCGGTAAAGTCACGTTGAAGAGAAACAACAGAATAACAAAATATATATAAAACAATAAAAAATTCTCACGACGTTTCGACCATAACTCAAACGGTCATCATCAGGTGTGATGAAAAAAAATTCTCACGACGTTTCGACCATAACTCAAAAATTCTCACGACGTTTCGACCATAACTCAAACGGTCATCATCAGGTGTGATGATGAATTTTTTATTGTTTTATATATATTTTGTTATTCTGTTGTTTCTCTTCAACGTGACTTTACCGAAAAAACTAAGAATATGTTTGGCTGTTGTTTCAAATATAATATAGATTTAAATTAATAGATATTAAATTGTAGCATATTTGGCAAATGTTACTTTATTTTTGTTATAATCATTCATATCAACAAACGTCCCTTATTTATCGAGGAAAGCCTCACTGAACATCTTCATAAGTTTTTTTAAGAGCGAGGTCTGCTTCGGATTTTTGCAAATGAAAGTAACAGCAGCGGTGGCTTGTTTCTTGAGTTTTGAGGTAGCAACACGTGCAGGTGTCCTAAGCTGGCAATGGAAAGACAACGGACGCGTAATAATGAAGTCAACGCCATCACATTACCATTATAGTATTCAATTAAATCACCAGCGCAACACTCACAATTCCACGGCCGACTCTACAGCCTCCACAAACTGGAACCACCAATGAGTAATAACACTATCCAGTAGACGTAAATGCACGCTCGACAGGACAACCACTACGGAGCGTTCATGATCATTGCGGTGGGTTTCCTTGACTTGTGCATCTTTTCCACTGTCAATGGTAGCATCGTAGTACGGGAGAGATTATGTATGTGTCACCAAAATAAAACTTGTTGAATGCAAGGTGAAACACCACCTGAACTCCCCTCCCCTATTTAAGCCTCAAGAATCCCAGCACACAAGAGTGTGGTGATTAAAGGCAGGAAGGGGGGAGTCTCATTGCATGGGAGCGAGGGAGCGCGAGCGATGGACGCACCTGCACTTGGGCAGATAATTTAAGGACGGTAGAGTAATTGAATACTATAATGGGATTTAATCGAATTGAGGTCATGTTCAACATTTTAAATAACAATAACCTACAGGTACAGTCCGTTGTTATTACACAGCTGGGTGCATGTATCACCGCACCGTCACTTGGCCATGACGTTAGCCGTTGCTGGGAATCGAATTCGGTTATCTGGGTCCATAGAACTGTGCTACTCGTTGCTGCACCACTCTCCACGAGCTATAGAAACAAAGATTCCCCGTGTAGCCTTCACAGACTGTTTGGTGCAAGTGCTGTTAGCGAGCAGCACCTATGAAGGCCGGCACGGAACACGAGGGGGTGGGTGGCCAGCACCACCCACGATGTTTACACATCATTTGAGGCTGAGTCGACCTAAAGGAGGTGTTGGCTGTGAGTGGGAATCTAATTCGGCTCACCGGCTCCGTATGGCAGCACGCCAACCACTGCGCCACACACATACAAAGACAAATATCCCCTGTATAGCCTGTAACAGACTGTTGTGGAAAGTGCTGTTTGTTAGCGGCTACTTATGAAGGCCGGCACGGCACACGAGGGGGTGGGTGGCCAGCACCACGCCCGGCCGCCTTTGTCTCCCCAGTGGCGATGTTCACACACCACACCAGGTACTCGTTTGAGGCTGAGTCGACCTAGGGGGGGGGCCCAGATAATCGTCACCAGTGTTGGCCGTGAGCGGGAATCGAACTTGGGTCACCGGGTTCGTAGCGCAGCGCACGACCGCTCCCCACGAGCTACGTAAGACGCTCTCACACACAAACACACCTGCAAATACCACTTCGCAGACAGTACACACCCGTCTACATTTGTAGAATTTATCAAATACGTAACCAACCTGACAACACTTGGGTCGTGCAATCGCCGACATAGGCTAACACACACGTTCATGCACTTTAACTTTCTGCGTGCAATTTTGCTCGTACAGCCATCCCAATATCATCATTATTATTATTTTGCTTTACATCATGATGGATGTATTATTTGATTAAGGGTGTGGCTAAATTGCTGGCTCGTGCTGTGTGGGTTTTCCCAGGAGGGAATCCGTGTGCCCAGGTGGCACGCGCTCATCGCCCGGACTCAGTGAAGAGGCAATCGCCATGTGTCTCTTCCTTGTGCGGTTGTTCGTGCCGATCAACATTTCCCCCGTCGCAAACAGAGATGCCCGCACGGTGGTAGGCTTTGAAAGACCGCAATAGATATGTCCACGAACGTTTACGTGGGTCTGCAACAGAGCTCGGGAGCATTTAAATTGCTTAATGAAGCAAAGGAAATACGACATGATCCTGACATAATTGGACATTGCATTACATCTATTTTTTTTGTTAAACACAACGCATAGCCATTGAGACATCCAATATACAAATGGCTCCACCAATGTAAATGTGCTCCATTACATCACAGTATTCGTGTTTGTGGAGGATCTTTGTCCGAGTAGGTGATGGGCATTGATGTCGGCGATTTCCACTCCTGCCCCAGAGAACACAGAATTCTGACATCATCAGGTCTCTGCTTGCACAAACAGGCAATTAATTCATTGTTGGTTTGCATGCTTACATGTTCATTTGTACAGTCTTCTGCAGGTTGATGAGTGGCTATGTTCTTGGCAGAGCGTATGAGATGAGTGCGAAGACAATATAACAAGCTTGTGCCGGATGCCCCACGGCAGGGAGGGGAATCAGGCGACCATTATGTCTCCTGGCCAAACCCCATTTAGACTCAAAACAAAGTGGCCAGTGACAAACAGCGCTCTTTATTGAATTGAGCAAGTATAGAGGAATTTGGGTACGTATAGAGACTATGGGGTAGGACAATTTTCTGTGCGGGGGGACATACTGTAGGTTCGGCTTAAATCTGGGGCACCTTCCCAACAGTTGACCCCTTGAATCTCTACCAATGAAAGCACATAATTTATAGCCCCATGTTGTGGAATAATATTCACGCACAGCGACATTCAGTAGGTTCCAATACGTTGCATTGTTTTTTTTAACCTCTTACACCCGTGGCAGTTACCTTCGTTTTTTTTCCTTCCGTTTCCATAGCCCATCAACCCCCCAACCCCCTAGTTTCACCCTGTGGCCTCTCTCACCAGAATGACTCCGACACCACATTTATTAAGCGTTTGTTGGTAGTCTTTATTTTTGGTAAACAAAAGTACATTTGTTAATTGCCTCAACGTTATCCCATTTAGTCTTTGCAAGCAGCAAGGTTTTGATTGAAAGCTTTCGTGACTGCAGGGATTCATGTTCTTGGTTCTTCCGGTAAAGTCACCACGTAGAAGGGAAACAATAAAATAATAAAAATATAAAACAAAATTCTCACGACGTTTCGACTGCAACACAAGCAATCATCATCAGGTGTGAAAACCACAAGAAAATTTGAAAAAAGTGGCGGTTATTTTTAACGTTAGCACCACGGATAGCGATTTGACAGTTTGTCCAGATGGATGAATCCATCTATGTTCGGAAAAGAGGGGGGAGACGAAAATAATGAATGTGGTCTGAAAGCCACCTTAAGCGTGATCAATCGAAATAGTTTATCAAATCCTTCCAATGTAGGACCAACACCTCGGCCGTGGCAGATCACTGTTATAATTCAGCAGGTTCACATGACATTGACTTCTCCAAGACAGGTTCTTTGCAAGCCACCTGGCTACCATGAGAGATTCGTTCATGAGGCTATCCACATATACAAACACAGAGACAATTTCAACTGAGAAGATGGATTCTGGTTTAACAATCATTGGAAGGATTTGATAAACCATTTCGGGTCTTAATTTATTGATCATGCTTAAGGTGGCTTTCAGACCGCAACCATTATTTTTCGTCTCCCCCCCTCCTCTTTTCCGAACATAGATGGACTCGTCCATCTGAACAAACTGTCAAATCGCTATCCTTGGTGCTGAGGTTAAAAAACCGCCACTTTTTTCACATTTTCTTGTTGTGGTTTTCACACCTGATGATGATTGCTTGTGTTGCAGTCGAAACGTCGTGAGAATTTTATCGTTTAATATTTTTATTACTTGATTGTTTCCCTTCTACTTGACTTTACCGAAAGAACCAAGACTATAAAGAGCAAGGTGCTATTCGTGTTTTTTATGTGAATTGCTGCAAATAAAAAAATCACACAAAGAGCAGTCGAAGGGTGCAATGCACAGTGCTTCGTGCACGCAGCACTGTGATGCCCACTGGGCACACATCTCAGACACCCTCCACAGCGTGGACCGAGCGCAC